CCATTGTACATAATCTCCCCCCGACTGCCACAGCCTGCCCGTTGCTAGACGCTGCGCATCCCAGCAACCACCGCCCGACTGCCCTCCACCGCCGCCCTGCTGCCGCCAGTCACCTGCCCTCCCAGCCCACAACACCTCTCACGCACTCTCGCCGCCCACTGCACTCGTCGCGACACGTGCTGTCGTCCTCCAAGCCCCTGACCGTCACCGCCTCGTCGTCACCCACGACCCCCTTTGACCCCTCGGCTCCTGCCAAGATCTCGTCTCCCTCCCGACGCTGCATACTGCCCATCCTCGAAACTGGCGTAACCGGACATGGGCACACCAGCGGAGGGACCGCCTCCGATGGACAACCAGGGCGCCCACCACCAGCACAACAATGATCCCCATGCCTCCAACGGCCTCATGCGCCGCGCCACAGACGACGGCGCCTCGTCGTCCACCTCACTCGCGCCCCACGGCATGGGCTATCCCTCGCGCTCTGCCACCGACCCCGGCGACCAGAACCAGCCCCTCTCCAAACCCAAGCGCAGCGGCAAGATTTGTGGAAAGTGCGGAGAAGGCCTGACGGGCCAATTTGTGCGAGCCTTGGGCGACACTTACCATCTCGAATGCTTCACCTGTCATGTAAGATGCCCGTTTCGTTTTGTTCCCCCTCCCAATCAACAGCACATTACGTAGTCGGCGTCATGCTACCTAGCCATGGACTCGCCCATCTTTAAACTCACGACGACTATCCACAACCTACTCCCCCACCTCCCCCGACGCATTGACTAACCGTCCCGCAGGACTGCAATAAGATTGTCGCATCTAAATTCTTCCCCGTCCCCGAAAAGCCCCCTGGTCAGTACCCGCTGTGCGAGACAGACTATTTTCGCCGACTCGACCTGCTTTGTTTCGAGTGCGGACAGGCTCTGCGCGGCTCCTACATCACTGCGCTCGACCGCAAATACCACATTGAGCATTTCACCTGCTCCGTCTGCCCCACCGTCTTTGGCGCGTCCGACAGCTACTACGAGCACGAGGGCAGCGTCTACTGCCACTACCACTACTCAACCAAATTTGCCCAGCGCTGCAATGGCTGTCAAACGTCCATCCTTAAGCAATTTGTCGAGATTTTCAGAAACGGCCAGAATCAGCATTGGCATCCGGAATGCTACATGATCCACAAGTACTGGAATGTGCGACTCCATTCTACCGGCCAGCCTGTCATTGAGCATCTGCACGAGGCTGACAAGGATGCCACTGATGAAGTGCGAGAGACTGTGCGCCAACAAGAGGAGGAAATTGAAGCAAAGGTCAACTGGATCTGGAAGACCTTGTCAGCCTTTGAGGAAAAGTCGGCCACATGCATCTCCGACATGCTTCTGCATGTCAGCAACGGAGCCTACGTAGACGGTGTCATGGCAGCGAAAAAGTTCATTGTCCACGTCGAGTTGTTGTTTGCTGCTGCCGACGCGCTCGACTCGCAATTGGTCGTCCGAACCCCGAAAGGACTGACGTACTCACGCGAATCAAAACTTCTCTGTAAGAAGGTGGTTGCTTTTTTCGCGCTCCTTACCCAGTCCCAGGGTACCGGTGTACGTCGGCTGGGTGTGACCCAAGAATTGCTGTCCCTTGTGACTGGTCTCGCCCACTATCTCAAGCTCCTGATCCGTATCTGTCTGCAGGGAGCGCTAAAATTAGAGCGCGAAACCCGCACCTCCACTGGCTTGACCAACTTTCTCACTCAGGTCAATTCCCTTGACGCACGACTAGAGGAAGAGTCCCAAAAGGATCAGGCGGCTGAGTCTGCGCGTCTGGTCCCAAGGTGGGCCGACGCGTGTCCCATCTGCGACGCCCAGGTCGAAGACAAATGTCTCCACCTAAACAACATGTCGTTCAACTACAGTTGCATGGTCTGCCGTGGTTGCAACGCTGACCTACGACATGATCCTCGCAATGCTTACTGGATTCAATCCAAGCGAACAGTCCTCTGTCCCGCTTGCGCTGCAGCGAGTGCGGACGCGGAAAAGGGATTCGAGCAAGTCACCAAACTGCGCCAGTACGTTCACCTACTAAACGTGGCGCATGCCCGCCTCATGGCTACTCTGCGTTCGAGCGGCGCATTGCCTCACACCTCAGGTAAGAAAAGCCTCTCCTCGACCGACCACCTCGTCACCACTCATCTTGACACCTCGACTCAGATTTCTGGAGCCGCTATCGAGATTACGTTCGTCCCACTAATGACTTGTAGATGACCCCAACCTAGCCGGCTATGATTCTTCACAAGGCCATCGTCTGGGAGACGCCGATGCGGATTCCCAACCGGCCCACTTGCGATCAGACACCCGCTCCAAATCCTATGGTGGTACTCCGACCACGGAAAGCCAGGTCAGCCAAAATGCCGCCTACGAACAATCCATGTCGGACATCAAGCGTCTTAGGTCGACGCGTCTCGACAAGCACCTCTCCAACACCATGAAGCGCGCACGTGCATCGCGCATCATTGACGGACCTGAGGGACTCGATTCAGCTGGAGGCGAGGGTCAGTTGAGAGGTGGAATGCAAATTGTCCAAGAAGGGCAAGGAAATGAAACCGATGCTGTGACCCTCGCCGTCAATTCTCTTGCTTTGGACGACATTGCTCGAATGGCTGCCCTGGAACAGCAGCGAGAACAACGACCCAATGCTTTCCGTGCTGGTGGCAGTGCACTACTCGGTCAAGGCGAACAAGGGAGATTGCAGACCGGCCATCGCCGCGACTTTTCCGGCGGTCAAGAGCTGCAGCAAATGAGTGAAGGCCGCCCACGAACATACTTTTCGGAGCTTTCACCATTAGAGTATTTTAAGCTGAAGGGCTTGGCTGTCCTACAACTCGGACTTTTGCTCGATGACAGCCAGTACAATCAAGGCGAACTGCTCGACCTCATTGAGTCGAAAAAGAACAACTTCTGGGGCAAGATTGGGTTTGGTAAAGCTTTTAAAGGCGACAAGGCCAAACCAAAGAAGAATGTCAATAGCGCCGTCGAGAAACCCGTTTCGGACAAGGCGACCTTTAGACAATCTCTCGAATATCTGGTGGAAAAGTTTGGTGATGAGTGCACAGAGGGCGTTGGACCAGGCGCTCTCAAGGTCCCAGCTTTGCTTCAAGATTGCATCACTGCCATGCGAAACATGGACATGTCGATTGAGGGTGTTTTCCGAAAGAACGGTAATCTCAAGGCTCTGCGCGAGCTTGAAGAGGAGATTGATGCCAATGGCGTACAAAAGGTTGACCTGAACAACAAGAATCCGGTCATTCTCGCCAATCTTCTGAAGCGTTTCCTTCGACTGATGCCGGAGCCTGTCCTAACATTGAAATTGTATAGACTGTTCATGGTTGCGAATGGTAAGTACTGGCGCTAGGGGTGTATTTGTTAACATTTGCTAACTCGAATAGACATCCAAGATGAAGCTCAAAGAAAGAAGGTATTACACCTCGTCCTCTGTTTACTACCCAAGGCCCATCGCGATACTATGGAGGTACTGTTTTGCTTCCTGAACTGGGTATCGTCCTTCCACACTGTCGACGAAGAGACGGGTAATAAGATGGACACCTGGAACATTGCCACTGTCATGGCACCGAACATTCTGCGCGAGAGTAACGATAGGGAGGTGAAGAGCGTAGATCAAGGCGCTGTCAAGGTGGTGTTTGATCTCATTGAGAACAATGACGAGTTTTCCGAGGTAAGTAGCTCTAGCTGCCCGACCATCCTGCCTCTCTAACTCTATGCAGGTACCCCCAGAAATTATGGAACTGCTTAGCGATGAGACATCTGATATGAGCGCAAAAGAGATTATGCGCCAGTGGGAGCAGCGTGGAAAGAATCCAATCACCGCTCCTAACCAAGCACCAAGAGACCAAAACGGTACAGCCTCAAGAAAGGACCAACGCAATGCCCCTCAGATCACCACAGCAGATAATAATCCCTCGGTCCAAGCAGGCGAAGCCGTTCGTCCAATCGCAGGAGCAGGCGGCCAGGTCCGCAATCAACACAGTCCAGCCCCAGGGCCTGATAGAGGCCAACCCAACGCTGGCTACGGGCCAAGCCCACAAGCATCAACAAACAGTCACCGGACTGCCTCGCCACATCGGAACAGCTACCGCCCGCCGGGCTTCCAAACACAAACAAAAGTCGGTACAGCAGGTGCCGGATAAGACTCAATGACTTCTCTTTAAAGCTTCCTACCTGGAGTACGTGGGCGTTGGTTCTCTCCACCTTTATTTTACGGCTTTGAGCGAAAAAGCATACCTCAACTGAGCGGCGATACTATTCTATACCCCCTGGTCTCCCACAGTCTACGTCATGAACATCTAGACTGGCGCCAGAAATCCTCTTTTATGCATTGGTTTTTTTTGGTACAAAGTTTGATGATGACTTGTTTTCTCTTCTTTTTTTTGATTGCATTCGGTTGCATCGTGCGTGTGTTCCTCTCTGTGTGTCCGTTGTGTGTCTGTGTCTGTGTTGCATCTTTTGCGGCACTCTTTACTTTCGAAGGAAGAGAGAGTTTTTGTAGCATTGGTATAGGAGTTTTTCTGGGTAAATTCAAAAACGTACCATTTACGTTTGTTTTTCTAGTGGCGCTGAAATAAAAGAAGGGCTGTTCAGCTTGGAGGAAGGGAAGAAGGTATGGGTGGAGGAAGTGGGGGAATTGGGGGTTTGATACAAAGGGCGTGAGGGGAGTGTGAGCATCGTGTTACCAGTGTGGAGGGAGGGAGCCATGGAAAAGCGTAGTCAAACTTTCTTGTTTTGCTCGTTCCCAACTGTTGGTACATAGATGAAAGCTTACTTGGCAATATCCCGATGAAAAACACTCCTTCTCATCTTTGCATCCAAGTGCTTTTATTCACTGTGCTTAGAACTTCTTATATACTTATGTAATACCAAAACCCACTACTACATAACCAAATAATAATGTAATATTTAACTCTCTACTTTACAGCCGCCACCCCGCCCCCACCCATCCTCTATCCTTCCTTACTTCCGCACAACAACCACAAAAAGCCTCGGGTAAACCAGTATAACCTTCCCATCCTTCAACTTTGGATACGCCTCGTCCAATCTCTTTTCATATTCCTTCAAAAACGCCCCTTTTGCCCCTTCATCCTCAATCCGATTCAAATACGGCAACAACCCCGTCCCCTTCACCCACTCCACAATCGCGGGCGCATCAGACAGCACGTGATGGTAATTCGTGCGCCAGATATTGACCAACTGCGCATCATCCACAAATGCGTTGTAGAACTCCGATGGAGGCTCGATGGGATCGAGGTCAGGGCGCTGGGGGTCGCTTGAATCGGCCACGCGGGCATCGGAGAAGTAAGGGGACCAAGGCTGAGAAGGGAGGGTAGCGACGGAGCGCATGAGGGCGTGAGAGGGCTCGTGGTAGTTGTCTGGCATTTGGAATGCGAGGACTGCGCCGGGTTTCAAGGAGGAGAAGAGGCGTTGTAAGGCGGGGATGCGAGAGGGGGAGCGGAGCCAGTGGAATACTGCGTTGCTGAATATCAAATCTGTGCCTGGTTCCACGGTGAAGTCGGAGATGTCGCCGCTGACAAAGTCGACGTTGGTGGGTGAGGAAGAGGAGGATTGGAATTCAGCGTTGGCACGACGTAGCATGTCGGGTGAAGAATCCATGCCTGTCACGTGGGCGCCGGGGAAGGAGGATGTGAGTACGCGAGTGCTGTTGCCGGGGCCGCAGCCTAAGTCGTAGACGCGGGGGGAAGGGGAAGATATGTGAGGGAGGATCTGGGTGATGAGGTCGTAGACGGGGCGGGTGCGCTCGTTGTTGAATTTTAGGTATTGGGATGCGGACCAGTCTTTGGAGTTGGACTGGTCTTGAGTTGTAGTAGGTGCAGAAGACATTATCGGTGGCGTGGTGGTCAATTGACGGGTTTGAATGGTGGTTTGAGCTGGTGCCCTTGACCTAGTGCTATTGTTGTGCTGTGTCTTGACTTTGTTATATAGTTGCTGTGATGTTAATGCTACTGAGACGTTGCGGTGGAAAAATATCCGACTTGCTGGATAGGGATCTGTGATGCGCAGAGTTTGCCTCAGTGGGAAAACGCATTGAGGCATTTGGTGGACTTTTTTCCTGTAGTTCACGAGTCACCAGGTTGGAGATTTTTTACTATGTTGCGGTGGAAGATTGGTGATGCTAACACGGAAAAGCATCATCGCCAGCGGAGAAGAGTAGCGTAGTTTGTCGTCGAAGGGCGCTAGAGATGGGATAGGTTAGGCGGTATTGGGGCTAGCGCGAGGCTGTTCGACAACCCCATTGCACGTCTAGACCTGACCTGTGGAATCATTATTTTTGGCTTTTTCGAGTCTCGGAATCTGCCTAGATATTTTCAGTGAGAAAAGGCAACAGGCAACACCTTGATCGCAAGGGGCGAGGATCGGCGCTTTTGACTTGGTTCCACGACGTCTCAGCCCCAATCTTGTCCGTAATCCAGCCTGATGGGTCGTAAGCATGCTGCCGCGGCGGTCCATGTCGGTGACCGAAAGGGGTTTCTATCTTGAGAAAATCGTATCATATCAAAGATTGAATCCAAAATCTGATCGAAGCGAGAGTGTGCCACATGAGCAGATCTTGAACATATTCTTCTTGTCAGACACTTGTCAGATTTCTCGCTGTATGATACCTTACATGACTCACGGCCGTATTCAGAAAAAGATACCAATAAGTATCTGAACTGGTGTGGCTGATGTCAGACGGGAACCTCACGATATACGGGCATAGAGAAGGCAGACGAACGACGGCTCATCGGCTCCTCATACCCACCCCACCCTCGTTCTTACAGCCAAGATGCACAAAACAGCCCAAGCGATCGGAAACGGAAAGACGGAGCGCCACGTGCTCGCGAATCTACGCCGCATTATGCATTAGACCGCGGGAGTCGATCATTCTTTCAAAGGATCACCGGCTCTTGCACGAGTCCCAACAAGGGATCCCTTGCATTTCCTCAGGGCTGGACCTTACTTTGCGTCATATGCTCCCATCCGCGAGTAGCGTGGGGCGGGATTGGCCGAGAAACGGGATGGCTGTGTGAGATTTGGGAATGGTTTGGGAGTGGTGATGAGTAGCAGCCTGACCACCAACACCGCGCTTTCTCAGCCCCAGTGGCCCCATTGGGGCTGTACGTCTTGGTAGAGGTTTTACATATAAGATGAATGAAATGTCAAATAGATTCTCTTTATTTCGATTATTGGCTGCTTGCAAAAATCTGCGTTGTCGTAACGTAGCCTTTGATTTTGGTGTATATACTCACCTTATCTTTCATACTGTATTTTGAGCTACACCATGCCTCCTACAATACAAAATTTCGTTCCACAGCTGAAATCTGTAGCTTTGATCCCGATACTTCTGCTTGCATCTTTCATCGCTTGGATCATCTATGCTAGGTACTTCCATCCACTAGCCAGATACCCGGGACCCTTTTTTGCCTCCATAACTCGTCTTTGGCACATCATCGATGTGGCTCAAGGTAGTTCTGATAAGACACAACGGAAACTGCACGATAAATATGGTAACTTCAATCGCCAACTGTCAAAGACATTATCCTAACTGACAGTGATAGGGCCGATTGTTCGGATAGCCCCAAATGAAGTCGCTATAGCGGATCCAGAAGCCATTCGAACCATCTATTCTGCCCAATCCGGATTTACTAAGGTAGAACCCCAGTCTCAAAGTAGTGCATGGAAATAGTACTGAATTACATAGACCGACTTCTACCTCCCTTTTCGAGCAGACTGGGCTAGATACCCAGACGCCTTTACCAATCTAGATGAGCGCCAACATGCCGAGAGACGCAGAATCGTCAATTCAGTCTACTCCATGTCCAACGTCGTGCAGCTCGAAGAAGACATTGACAAATGCGTACAGCTCCTCATAACCAAATTCACAGACCGCACAAAGAAAGGTTCAGTCATCGACATGTCAGAATGGGTACAATGGTACGCCTTCCCCCTTCTCCCCTTTCAATCCCACGAAACTCACTGCCAAAAAAAGGTATGCATTCGACGTAATCGGCAAGTTGTTTTTCAGCAACCCCTTCGGCTTCCTGCAAAATGCCCATGACCATGCCGGCTACATCCACGCCCTCGACCTCCTCATCCCCTTCATTGCAGTCGCCTGTGCTGCACCCACCTACCTGCGCCCCCTCATCCTCGTTAGTGGCGCCGCCGTCCCACGCGTATTTAAAGCACTCAAGGCTCTCAAGCACATCGAATCCGCATCTGGAGCTTGCGTCGTGCAGCGCCAACACCTCATTGCTGATGGGAAAGCAGAGGAGTGCGAGGATATGCTACAGAGTTTCTTTGATATCATGCGGGAGAAGGGACATCAGAAGGATTTCGGGATTACGGAGGTGAAGATGGAGGCGTATGGCGCTTTGTAAGTTCAACTTCCTCTTTACTATATGTTTTGTCGTAGTGCAAGAGGCGAAGGGGGCTGACTGAAAATAGTATTGCGGGCTCCGACACCACTGCCGCAGCGATAACGTCGATTCTATATCACCTCATGCGCACGCCATCGGCATACGCTAAGCTCACGGCTGAAATCGATGAGGCGGAGCAAGCTGGGTTGCTCAGCCAGGATATCCAGTATCATGAGGCGGTTGGGCTGTCGTATCTCGTGGCGTGCTGTAAGGAAGGGATGCGATTGCATCCTAGCGTTGGTATGACGTTGCCTCGTCGTGTGCCTCGCGGTGGTTGCGTTATCGCAGGGCAATGGTTTCCCGAGGGAACGCGGGTTGGTGTCAACGCGGCGGTTGTACAGCGTGATCGTGGTGTTTTTGGGCACGATGCAGATGAGTTTGTGCCAGAAAGGTGGTTTAGACCTGATGCGGCAAAGATGGAAAGGTGTATGTTTCAGGTCAGTTTTGCCCTTTCTTTACTACTGCGAACATTATGGGCTGACATTGTGCATAGTTTGGTGGTGGTTCGAGAACTTGTATTGGCAAGAATGTAAGTTTCACTTCCCCAGCAAATTGTGTGATATTGCTAACTGGGATAGATTTCGCTTTGCGAAATGTACAAAGTCATTCCATCGCTTCTCCGTTCATTTGACCTGCAGCTCTTAGAACCTGATCGGGAATGGGAAACACGGAATTATTGGTTTAACAAGCCAAGCAAAGTGTACACGACGATAAGGTGCAGGGATTCAATGTTCTCAGGACCCCCCTGAGCAGCTTTCTATATTTGCATCTCTAATAGCTAATCTTTGATCATGAATATCCAACCGTTTCTACTTGAACAATTATCTCATCTTCAAAGTGAATCTAATCAAGCAAATTCCACTCTTGCACCGCAACCTTGATCTTCTCCATTTCCTTCTTCTCTTCTTCATCCTCCTCGTCATCGTACTCGTTCCAATTCTCCACCGTAGGACTGATCAACCCCTCGCTCCTCCTCTCCTGGATCCTTTTCTTGAGAAAACCATCCTTGCAACCATCCTCCGCCAGCTTCTTCGTAAACGCCGCTGCCTTCCGCGACTTTTCATCGTCCCCTTTACCCGCCGTGCAGGGCATATCCGCATCATCATAATACCACCCACCCACATGCTTTTCGAACTTGACGGTCTTGCCGGCGGGCTTAGTTTCCACGGACTCCTTTCCGTACAAGTGCCCATCCTGAGCTTCCCACTCCGCTTCACTGCCAAACCTCCAGACGCCGATTTCTTTGAACAGGCGTTCGACGAGGCGAAGCAGGCGGTCGTAGATCGGCATGTACAGAGTCCAGTGTTCACGCTCGATGGCGTCGTTGTAAGGGTATGGATTTTTGGACCACCCCTCACGCTCAAGCTTTTTAAAGGCATTGCGGCAGTCGACGAAGCCGTTGAGCCACGGCTCACCGGGTTTGCTGCTGCCATGTGTCTGCCCGATGACACGCCCGTTGAGATGCATTTCAATGCGTATTTGGACCATGCGGATCATGTCGAGGCATTCACCGGTTTCGATTAGGCCTTTCTGTTGGCGAATCAATTTTATGAGAATTTTGCAGCCGATGAAGCAGCCCATAAAACCGGTACGAGATGGTTTGAGGCCGCCGGGAAGGGGTGGCCCTGGTTTCTTCTTTGTGAACAGTGACATGGTGGTCGAAGATATCTTCGTTTTCAGTCGTCGAGTGTAGGGGTATGGCTGTATAATCAGATGATCTAGTTGATGACAAGTGAGTGTCTGGTGTTCAAATCAAGCAAAGGTCGAGTAAGGCAGTATTTATACAAATCATAAAGAAAGTTGCATACAATGTGAGAATGAACCGTGTGAATGATCAGAGATGAATTCACAAAATCTGTACATTCAAAATGTCAAATGTGACAATGCGTACTAGAGTGCTTTGACGCTAAGATACCTTTCACATCTTTGCACGATCCCCGTGATCGGGATTCACGAGTACGTATCGGTATCTGGCATGCCCGTCTTCCATATCGACTACGGCCTGGTTCGCATCCTTCATGTTGCGCTTCTGTACCCACGGCTTGACTCCCTTCTCCGCAGCGAACTTCAGCATCTCTTCAATGTCCCTGGGACTGCCAATCTGGCTTCCACCAATTTTACAACCCTTGCCAATCAAGCCAAATGCAGTGATCGGAGGAAGCTTGTCTTCTGGCGCGCCGACCTGGATAAAAGAGCCGCCTGTACGCAGTAGCCGGAGATAGGATTCCAAAGGCATATCTGGAGACGAGACAGTGCTGATGATGAGATCCAGAGTTCTGCTGTGCTTCCTTGCCCATTTTTCATCTTCAGAAGTCGCAATGTAATTTGTTGCGCCCATTGCCTTTGCATCTTCGACTTTGTTTCTTTTCCGGCTGATGGCGACTATTTCTTGACAGCCTAGTGCTTTCGCAAACAATATACCAAAGTGACCAAGACCACCTATACCGATGATCCCTATTCTCTTGCCAGGTCCTGCGCCATTGTTCTTGAGCGGCGCATACACGGTAATGCCTCCACACATCATAGGTGCTGCGTCCTCACTTCGAAGTCCTGCGGGTATCCTAATGGCGAAATGCGCTGGTACACGAACGTGGTCGGCGTAACCGCCCATGCTCCAGCTGCCATCCGGGTACTTTGAGTTATACGTGGATACCATCTTCTTACAATGCTGCTCGATGCCTGCGCTGCATTCTTCACAATCGTCTCTTAGACAGCTAAAGGCCTGGGCGCCTACACCGACCCGGTCACCCAAATTCAGATTCTTGACTTTTTCTCCAACGCGAACGACGTGACCGACAATCTCGTGTCCGACACATGTGGGATAGTGCGTAGTGCCCCAGCCAGAGCGCAGCGTGTGAATGTCGCTACCGCATATACCGCAATGCGAGACCTTGATATCGACATCGATATCATTGAAGGGTTTCGGCTTGAAGGAAGACCATGTCATGTTTCCTTGAGCGGCGCTCTTGTCATGACCGAGCCATCCTGTGAATTCAGTGGGAGACGTCATGGTGGTCGCGTGGGGGTTTGGGAGGATTTGGCGCGATGTATGCGTAATTGCGACAATGAAATATCCGACAAGTATGTAGACACGTTAATTGGGAAAGACAAAGGACACTGCTGGACTTCGGCAATCTTTGTCGTGACGCCAACGCGCTCCGAACCGAGCATCACCGGCGTCATTGTGCTGGAGAACGACATCCGAGGCATCTTTCGTAGCGCAGCGCGGCGCGATTGAGGGGTCTTCGGGCTTAGCGTTACTAACTCCGTAGCATTGCATGTGACATTGTTCTCACCAACGCTCGAAAGGCACAAGTAGATTGTGAATATCGGTCATATATTTTCTTTAAATGTTGTCAACTTACAGAAATTGATCCAAGAGGAAAGCATAATCAACTCTAAGCCCCTGCCACATTTTCCACCCTCTTCACCAAAGGCAAAAATCTCGACCTCGCCGACGCCTTTGCCGCAAGCTGCCCGATAGACTGTCCGTTCGTGCTATCGGACACAAAAACATCAGCTCCAATTTCCTTCGTCATCCACGGCCTGATTTCCACAAAACTAAGCGAGTCCACACCATACGCATTGAGTGACCTATCAGTGTCTAGTTCTTCTAAATCGTAGCTGAGCGTCTCAGTAAGTTGGTCCAGCAAGGCCTTGAGTACCATCTGCTCTACTTCTTCCAGTGATATTGCTGCAGCAATGAGATCAGGCTTCGAACGTGTGCATGAGTCTCTGTTTCTGGATGATCCATCGACATTGTCCGCGCCGTTTCGAAGAAGATCTGTGTGGTTGTACATCGGTTCGTGCTGCCAGGCTAGTCGCCCAGCACCTTCATCTGCAATGTACCTCGGGAGTCAGAATTTTGAGATCGATTGGGCCTCTTCGAAGCTAAGTTTCGTGCCGGGGTGGCAGCAGGAATCGAGTGTTTTGACAAGTTGCTCGGAGGACATGGAGGCTAGACCGGTGGATAGGAGGTACGATCTTAGTGCTGGCCTTTCGGCGACCATGTCGACATCGTCTAGGACCGGGGCGGCGAGCGCGACGAGGTTGTGGCCTTGGGAAGCTAGGGATCTGGCTCATCATGACCCTCGGCGACCAACTTTCCTATATGCTTGGCAGACTAGACTAGACGTATCGCCTCTTCTATCTATAAGATAGGGTAGCCTGTAATAAGAGTCTTAATCTCGAAATTATAACTAAAAGTATCCTTAATTATATCCCCCTAAAATTTACCAAATCGCTCAAGGTCGGTCCGCTACATATATGCTGATTTAAGAGATTCGAACCTCACGCCTCGGCCAAGTGTGGTCATGGAGATGCGAGCCCTGCATTCACTGTCAGCCAGATCGATCTCAGCAAAGGCTCCGGATGGCGCAACGAGTTCCCTGCTTGCTCGAAGCGCATCGCCGGCGAGACTGTTGATCACGACGTCGACTCCGCGATTGGGAGTCATGCGCAACACGCCGATCTTGAAAGTCAAGTCGCGACTCGAGAAGGTGTGGTCACACGGGATTCTGTACATTCTTTTCAAGAAAATCCCGCTTCTCGATACTTCCTGCTGTGATGAAGATTTCTACGCACTCACGCTGCGCCAGCTGGATAGCAGCCTGACCAACACCACCAGTAGCAACATGGATCAGTACCGTTGGCTTCTTTTCCAGTTTCGCGCGATTTGCCAAGCCACCAATCTCGTAGAGATAAATCCATGCTGTCAAGTACACAACGGGGATGATTCCCATCTGCTGCGGCAACCGGTCCAAGGCTTGCGAAGGGAATACTTGGCTATTTAAGCGTTATAATATATGGACTTAAGCATAGGTTTGATGATGTTGGTGATTTTGTCACGCAGTGCGGGCGTTTCTTAGAGGACCCGGTTGGGTGCAACCGCGACGTCCTCTACATGAACCCTCAATGTCTGTTCAGCACTCACGAAACGCTGCTTACAACGTTCACTCTATCAAGAAATCTTCAGTACTTAGTAGAGGATATTTCTCAGAGTTGCTTTGATACCCTGGCTGGCTTCGAGACGCTCGATCCTCTTACTGAGATGCCCACACCTGCGTGTCTCTTCACAGAGCTGCAATCGTACAGTGATGCCTTCTCCTCCGAAAGCTTTCCAACTGACTAATTATCTCAGACACCAAAAACAGGCACTCACCTTTTTCATGAGGCCCAAACAAGGACCACACCCAATCGAGGATAGTGTTGGGCTATGGGCGCGACAGCTGGATGGGCGAGGGTGAGTAATCGCAATGACTCGTGGATAATCAGATGTTAACGGTTGCATTCATCAGCTTCAAGAACATCATCACAAACCAAACTCAGCTGGAACCGGGACCTTTATGGAGAGGCGGTCTTCTTGCAGATGAGATGGGTCTTGGAAAGACTCTCAGCATATTTTCACTAATCGTATCTGATCATACCAACGACGAACAGCAACCATACCAAGCACAACGCACTCCTGCAAGAGAGCCTTGCTCCATGCTTGTTGTACTGCCATTAAATAGTAAGATCCCCCACCGGTGAGGGTACATCTCAAAGTGCTAATGGAAGTTGCAGTCATATCAGTTTGGGCATCCCAGCTTGACAGGTGCTTTCTCGTCCAGTCATGGCACACCAGGATTGCTGACATAATCCAGTCACGTTCGTCCCGGAAAACTGACGCACTTTGTTCATCATGGCAAGAACAAGCTACGGCTGACTGATGGTGCGAGTCCCGCCGACATAGTATTCGTCACATACCAGACTGTGGAGAGGTAGCACTGGAAGGGATCATCATCTGTGAACTCTCTGCGGGCACATTTCTGGAGACGCATTATACTGGACGAAGGTACAGACATTCTTGCATCATAGCAGCATAGCATCAAGCTAAAACACTGACAGCATACATAATTCGAAATCATAAGACATCAACCGCGCAAGCAATAGCAGCTCTGAGAGCCAAGTGCAGATGGGCCGTCTCTGGCACCCCAGTCCAGAATGGTCTATCCGACTTTCTTGGTCTGTCCAAGTTTCTTGACTTCACCCCCTACGACGATCCTCGTGGCGTCGTCAGGGTATAGAAGGAGATGTAACATCGAGTTTCAACATGTCCACGTGTCCACGGGCCACGCGGCACGCTAACCAGAGACTTTACAAAGCCGTTGGACATGAGTTTGTTCACACAGCCGCTCAGGCCCCACACAAACAAACGAGAGTCTCTAGCAAGGATTGTGAACACTCCACATCAAATGTTACAGTCGCTATTTGCTGAACATAGTACAAAATGGGACCCGTTGGCCGGCGTCTTCCTTCGCGAAAATTGTGATAGTTTGAGTCGTAGCATTCACGATCTATCATGTCGTTATGAAGCGACAAGTCTTATTTCGAAGACAGCAAATTAGGGAAGAGCATGACCGAATTCAAATTCGGACTTCAAGCATGGCTCCTGATCAAATGATGGCCTTGACGCATGTGAAACCTGAGAAACACCCAAATATCATAGTTCTGGTGGGTTGAGCAGACAAACGCAATACATTGAGTATCGCATTGGCACAGCCATGAACATGCATTTCACAGCCCAGGTAATCGGATGGGTGCAAATGAAGTTTTCAATATAGGACTGAAAGCGAGGCCGTGTCATGATATAGCAAAAATCCTAGTAAAAACTAAGAGAAGACTTGAATTACTACAGCAATATTGAAGATGTGACTGTATTCAGTGCCATTTCAGAATGACTTTCCCCGGGGTATCTTCAGGCGGTACAGAATCATCCATTATAGCAAACATATGATTTTTTGCTTAATTTGACGGGTTAGAGGGGGCGACAGTTGTCAAAGTAACGGGAATCTGGCCCAGGCTTGTGTCGTTCCAGTACAAACGGTGTAGATTTTGTGAGACCTGAAGTCCGGTCCACGCAGATACCAACTGCCCATCATCTGTAACAAATGCTGCCATTGAGCCATAGAGTCGAAAGCCCGAGATGGCCTTGCCATCAATCGTCGAGTTGCTAGTAAGAAAGCCTACGCGCTTGTCGGAGTCGTCAGCGGTTGGAATGAAAAATGTCGCATTAGACCATGATGAGGTATGCCCTGGTACCGTTACGTTGGGAGATCCGAGCCACTCATTGTTTGTAGTTGACGTGACTGGGACTGTGTTAACATGATGTAATTTGCCGTTAGAATTTTTGCACTCTAGACTTACAATTGACGATTGCCGCGTCGGTGGTGTTAGTGGCATCAATGCTCCCAACGTATGCATAACCTTTGATTAATGAGAGGGTTTCTCGCGATTGGCACAGTTTCTGTAGACGACTCACCGTCCGAATAGATCAATGGACTGCCACCAAACTGGTCACTGTAACCATAGAAAATGAAGTTTCTCGCTGCCGCGCGGCGTGTCGCACCCAGAGCGAGAAAAGGCAGCGTAGACAGAAGCGCGAAGGACTTCAAGGCAGACATGATAGACAATGAATTTACTGAATTTGTCGTGGATTTGGCTGATTCTTGTCGTTCAGTGGCTCGATAACACAGCGGGTCGTTGGTAACCTATATATATGTTAAATGAGATGCAATTTTTATGCTTCTAGACTCACCACGATGTCGTTAGTGCCTTACGCAAGCCAAGGTCGTCAGCAACTTGGGCGCAGTCCTCATCCTTACGCACGGGGTATCACCTGAAAGGCTGATGCACTGACTCAGCACGATCTAAAAAGCCACTAGCTGGCCCCTTACAAGCACAGCGTTGCTCGGATCTGCCCGTTATGCCGGGGACCGAAAGTTAAGCTATGACAAGCTGGGACACGTGCCTGACGCAGGCACACTTGTCGGGGTTTGTTCAGGAAATGCTCCACACCCCCACTGACTCGATATCACGATTTTGGTCTACGCGTCGTGCTGTCGACACTGCTCAGCCTGGTCTAGCGCACCAAGTGCTGACGAGTCTGATCCACTGTTGGGAAATGTTTAGCATCTAGAGCAACGTGGGTAACATGTAATGCCAAAGGGGCGATACGTCTGTTTTTGGGCACAGCTTGAGAAGATGAAGTTTAAAAACGGCGCATATCACCACGTTTTGAATCCACACGCTCGCTTTCTTTGGTCTACCAAGACCAAGCCTTCCGACCATTGAGATCTTGATCTTCCTTCTTTATTGTGCACCGCCTGCGAAATGCGTCTCTTCAGTGCGCTCAATGCTGGTTTGCTGATTGCTCATGCTTCGGCCTCTAATTCCCACCAAGGCCATCATTCCCATCATGCCCACCAACTCGCTCCTCGGGCTGCGTGTTCTGGTAACACGGCCACCACTCGCTCAGAATGGTGTGACTATTCGATAGATACAGATTACTCTCAAGGTAAGCCCTTTGGGAACAGCAGCGAGAGACCCAGCGCTGATCGCTTTTCTCTTTAGAGGTTCCTGACACCGGAGTCACCCGTGAATACTGGCTCGAGTTGACCGATGTAACTGTTGCGCCTGATGGTGTTTCTCGGTCAGCAATGGCTGTCAATGGAACTATTCCTGGTCCAACTCTATTTGCTGACTGGGGCGACACGGTTATTGTTCACGTAACTAATAACCTTAAAACTTCCCTTAATGGAACTAGTATCCATTGGCATGGTATCCGACAAAACTACACAAACGACCAGGATGGAGTTGTCTCCATTACGCAGTGCCCAACTGCTGTAGGAAGCTCTGAAACCTATACATGGCGGGCGACTCAGTACGGAAGCACTTGGTATCACTCGCATTTTGCACTTCAGGCGTGGCAAGGTATCCTTGGTGGCATCATCATTAATGGACCAGCGACCGCAGACTATGATGAGGATCTAGGAATGCTGTTTCTTAACGACTGGGACCACCAGGTAAGCATTTAGCTTGTTATACTACTTTAGCCTCTAGGGTTTATACTAACGATCAGATAGACGGTAGACGAGCTCTACCTCTCTGCTCAGTCTAGCGGCCCACCCACTCTTGATAACGGTCTAATTAATGGAACAAACACTTATAACGATGGCGGCTTTCGTTATAACGTATCCTTTACTAAAGACACATCCTATAGGATACGCCTAGTTAATGGTGCTGTTGACACTCACTTTAAGTTTATGATTGACAATCACACCATGACCGTCATTGCGGCTGACTTAGTACCTATTGAGCCATACACCGCGACAGTCTTAGACATTGGTATGGGTCAACGTTACGATGTAAGTTATAACTTAGCGGACTAAGGTACTTTATATAGCGAGATACTAAACATCTATAGATTATTGTTACCGCCGATCAAGCATCCATCGCTGATAACTTCTGGATACGTGCTATTCCTCAGTCTGCCTGCTCTGGTGAGTATAATTCTAATCCTAGCTTTTCTAATAACCTACTAAAACGGTGTTAGACAATGACAACGCAGATGACATTCGTGGAATTGTTTACTATGGTTCTACGCTCTCTACCCCGACCACATCAGCCTATGACTACACTGATGGCTGTGCCGATGAAACCGATAACCTTGTTCCTTACATCTCTAAGACAGTCTCTGATTCAAACAGCGTATCTTCTGAAGATGCCACTGTTGGATTTAACACGGACGGTCTCTTCCGCTGGTATCTTAATAGCACCACTATGGTCGTGGACTGGGAAGACCCTACGCTGATGAAAATTCTCAATAACGAGACATCATTTGAGACTTCCAACGCTGTTATTGAGCTACCCAATGCTGATGAATGGGTGTATATCGCTATTCAGACTACGCTATCTGTTCCACATCCTATCCACCTCCACGGACACGATTTCTTCGTCCTCGCACAGGGAACTGGCACATATTCGTCTTCTGTGTCACTGACACTGGACAATCCTCCAAGGAGAGACACTGCTATGCTGCCTGCCTCTGGATACCTTGTCATCGCATTTGAGACTGATAATCCTGGTGCATGGCTGATGCATTGCCATATTGGCTGGCATACGTCAGAGGGATTCGCTTTGCAGTTTGTGGAGCGATACAGCGAGATTGCTGCTTTGACTGACTCGGATCGACTGGATACTGGGTGCACTGCTTGGTCCACCTTCCAGGAGAGTGAGGATATTGAGCAAGATGACTCTGGTGTGTAAGTGGTTGAGAAACACGACTCTTTGCAGTTTCTCTATGCGTTTGGCATCCCGGAGTACGACCCGTCAAGGCACCAATTCTTTGCAGTTCATTCAAGCGTTTTGGATTTCCAAAAGTCTGATCAACTGAAATATTGTTTGTAATAGTAGGGATGTCAATTCAGGTGAAGAATTGACTGAAAATGTAACATTATACAAAAATCGCATTCTGTTAGATCGCGTACGTAATGCGTAAGCCGTACATGCCAATGTGCAATCAAAGACTGTCATTGTATTATCTTGGGCTTCCTGGGTAAATGCTGGCAGCGGGGCGCATTTTGCGCACAAGTGCGGTGACATCGCAGGCGAAATTCGAACCCTGACTGAATAAAGCCAAAAATAAATACATTTCAGCTCCCACATCACTGCTTGCGTAACAAGAATAATGAAGTATGGCTGCTCGTCTTCGATAACGATGATGACTCCGCAGCTTTTTGTTCCTGCCAAGCCCTGATCATTATCACTTCACAGAATCTATCACTAGAGTTATTAGTAGGAATGTTGATATGATGGACAAAAGCATAAATTTTAGACTCGAAGCGCTTGGTGTTCTAATATACTGTTATATATTATCTATGAAATCTAAATCCCCCTTCGAAGGCTCTACTGAAAGATACTACTACTTTAGTTGCGAAATGCCACCGGCCTTTACTATATTGTAAGTTTTGACTGTAGTCCAAGCTATGGCTCCTACCAAAATTGAACCGGCTATCAAATACCTCTTGTTCACATTATGCTTTTCCACAAGCTTCTCGTCGTTAAAGCACTCAGTTCGTTCCCGCTTCGGTACAGGCAACGTATCCAACTTTGCAGCAGGTTTACAAGACGCCAAGATCCTCGTAACCGTCTTATCATGTGATTCTTTTGGCATGAACCGGGTGATCAAGTTCCCCAACCAAAAGTCCTTAGCGTTCAGCCTTTGAAGAAATGCCGAGAAGCTCATTATACCTTCGGTGCGCGCGTGACGTTTCGACTACATTCTCTGGAAAGCGTTCTCTAAACTTGATGTTGTGAGATGAGACGTCTCGGAACTCTCTGACTCGAGCAGTTTGAGGAGTTCGTTCGTAAGAACGGCGGCGTCTTCAATCGCGCTATTGCCACCCTGTCCGCCAATCAGATTGAACTGTAGATCGTCAGTGTTTGTGCTTGCTTAAGTCAAGGAGGATACCTGCCTTGTGCGCTGCATTGCCAATTGTGATGATTCGGCCGTAGTGCCATTTTGAAAAAACCACCTCTGGCAGAGCTTGCAGGGTTGCAACTTTCCGCATACGGTACAAATCTCCGAAGCACATACCCTCTCCAATTGGGTCATTAACATGTTCTGATACCAGCGCCTCCAGTTCTGCCTCGTCGTAGCGTGGGATTTTCTCGTATAGTCCATACACAGGCTTCTTGAGTTTCTTGAACAAGAACCAGTAAATCCGGTTTCCAGGTCCGATGCTGCAAAGATATGAATGACCATTACCCCTGACATAGTAGGAGCACTGCTTTGGGAACTTGTCAATAGGTTTCGAGATGCCGAAAATGCAACAGTACTGAGTCCTCACTGACTCTCCTTCCCCCGATTGGAAATATCCTGGCAGCTTGTTCGCTGCAAGCCTCCACATTTCGCGACGCACTTTGCTGTGGATTCCATCGGCGCCAACCAATACCTCAGCCGAGTAGGTTTCTCCCACTTTTGTGGAGACCTTTACTGTATCGGCTGTCTGCTCAACACGGACCACCTTTTGAGACATCAATATTCTTGTCTTGTCCTTGAGATTATCATAGAGTGTTCGGATGACCATTTGACGGTCAGTGAAGAAAGGAGTGTATCCTATTCTAGGAAGTCTTAGTTAACACGTCCTGCATGTGTATCAATTCAGGTATCTATCGTTCAGTGAAGCGCTTCAAACCATTTGGCACAAAGGAGATGACTCCTCCGTCTTCCTCTTTGGTCTGAATTAAATCAAAAGCATCAGCACCGTCCAAAAGCCGTATGGATTGATCGTAACAGCCTAGCTGGTCAAGTATGCGAGCTCCGTTGGGGAAGATGGCAATACTAGCACCAACGTCTGGTGCTATCTCGTGCCATTGTTCAAGAAGTAGATAGTCAATGCCTGTCTGTTCAAACGCGTTCGCAAGAGTGAGCCCAGCGACACTCCCTCCAATGATTAACACTCTTGCATGCGTTTTTGTCGCCATTGTTCGATGTTTGTAGAATGGAGTTTCTTAATGTGTTGAATTGTAGATAGATGGGCAAATCGCGAATGAGAAGTGCAAAAAACGATCAAAACAGTAAATCTCCTGCAGAACTAGAGCATATTACAAGGCAGTTATAATTTCAATAAACCATCAGTATTTAGTGGCCCATACTCTGCGCAGTTCCGCCAGGAGAGTAGTCGGCAAATCCCGTGGATCAAAAGTCTCCGGAGTTGGACCGAGGACACTATGAAGGCCCGTGTCGACCAAGTGCCAATGGAACGAGGTTTCCACGGAGCATGTCCGATGGCTCGGACATAGGAAAAAACCCCGATGCCGGGCGATCACTGCCCGACATATCCAGCAATCTACGCGTTCTTTAGTACGTCACTGGTCGTGCTTTTGCCTACACTATCAGTACACAAGTATGTTAGTCATACCGGACAGATAGATTTTTTGACACAATGGCACATAGTGTTGAAGTCGCCTTTGATAGGGGTCATCTCAATAATTGCATGGAGACACAGTGTGAAGGTGCATTTCATAGCGATAGTAAGCAAGACTACAAAAGCTCGTTCGGCCATTCATGTGGTCAGCTGTTTGGCCTAGATTTCTTATTGATGCTTAGAATGTTTTGCAAATGCGAGTCTCATCAATACGTTGGCCTCGTAGCTTTGATTGTAGTCCTAATCCGGAAGCCCACATTTCCCATATCCAACTCTGTTGACCTTTTACACATAGTCTTCTTCCACAATGTATCCTGATCAATGTTGCACAACAACAAAAAAAACTTCAAGTTAGTCTAGTTGTCACTGATTTCGTTGCGGTCTGTGCAGACCCTGTTCCCAATAACTCCTGCTTGCGTCGAGCGCTCATTGTCTGCTGATATGCTTTCCTTTATCCAATTGGACAGTCATAGGTGTTGGCACTTATGCAGCAAGGGTACTAGCAGGCTATGCCTTTAGATCCTAGTTGACTGCATACGTGGGGCTCGGATCATGTCAATCAACAGCATGGTGACGAGGACTGCAACAAGCTCTGAAAGGGACAGCTAATCCCATTGGAGATAGAAATGAACTTAATTTGTATGCACATATACAGACACCCTGTAACTAAGCGACGTAATCAATTAAGCAGCTAATGAAATCATCTTAGCTGCTTTGAAGCACCAGCATTATCCTAGTAGAATTCAACGGGATAGCTATCTATCAAGGTGTATCCTTAAGAATCTTCAAAATATTTACAGATTAACACGTTTTACTAAACTAATAATTTTCATTATATTCTATTACTACTCTTTGAAAAATAAAGAATTTATCATATCCTAAATGCTTAATAGAAAAAAGATTTATATAACCTGAGTGTTACATAGAGTTAAGTAGTAATACTGCTAGGATATCAAATAGGTCATGAAGAGCGAAATGCGGGTGAGGGATAGGCACACATTGAGAAAAACTTAATAAATCTTTTTTCCCTCTTATTGAATAGCGTAAAGCTTTGTGATTAAGTGGGTACTGTTCTATTATCACTAAGAGCTTTCGTTATAGAGTTATTACGATAGAAAGGTAAAGAAGGTGGTTGCAAAGCGTGAATTGGTAAGAGAGATTTAAAATAACGCTAGTTCCAAAACGAATTTTTGGCTTCAGCGCTCATGCCGAAAGCGATTTCTTAGCTTTAATGCTAGTGCCCAAAGCGAGGTTTTAGTTTTGTCTATATATATTAGATTGGAGGCTTCGCTATTGACAGTGTTTAAAAACTAGCCCGTGCGTACTTAATCTTACCTTAGAAGTACTCTAGTACATATATAATAAATATAATCTATATAAATCTATCTAGATTTAACTTACTTAGTTAAAGTACTTCGTTCAAGAGAATTTAAGTATTCAAGATAGAGTTTAAGATATAATAAGATTTAATTATCATTTACTAGATAGCCATTATTTTATAATTATTAATTTTATCTCTAAAAATATAACTATCTATTAATATGAAGATTGTACTCTAGCTAACTCCTGATATATTTTTGCTTTCCGCGATAATACTTTTTAAACTCGCTACTCTGCGACTAGATTAGTTTCTCGTTAAAGTGTATCTTTGATGAAGAACTCTTACAGCTGTGGCGAGAAAGAACACCAGACGAAGCTACGCAAACTTTCAAGAAGTTACTCTCATGCCTTATGCTACGCAGAACGAAAGCGATATTGCATCTTCCTACTCGAACTGGCAAGATCCTCTTTGTCCCATTTTCCGAACAAGAGAAAGACTGTTATCTTCGTATGGAAACACCTGTGATAGAACTCCTCGATCAGCCCTATGGAAATTACTTGCCTAATGCACTCGAGCAGATTAATAGACTAAGCCTCATTTGCAATCTCAGAACGCATGCACCTCAGCGCTACAACCAGGAAAATCCAGTGCCAGTAGATGGCTCTCTTACAGCAATGCTGCAGGCTCATCTCTCCATGGGTGAAGATATGTGTACGCAATGTTTGGGACCAGTTAGCTTGCCATCGATTGACGACGAATTGGGATCGATGACAAGTTCAAATACCTATTACTCGGCTTGTGGTCTCATCTATTGTGCCGCATGTACACATCTCCTATGCTTTCAGTCTCCAGGTCTGTGCAGATGTATCAACGACACGATATCTTGTTCTCTTATACCTTTGTCTTCATCTATCCGCACCCCATACCTGACACCTGTACGGGGTACCTCATCAAGTTTTCGTCACGATAGCGATGATATCAAGTTATCATCCAAAGTATGTGCCCTCATTGGACAGATCAAAGGCACCCCAACTGAGAAGAGGTAAGTCCCCGATCTATGCTGAGTCGTTTTTCTAAGCTACAAGATACAGTGTCGTGTTTTCTTTCTAGACAACGAGTCTCGACATGGTCGAACGAGGTTTATGCTCCGAGAACATCAGATACGTCCGCATTGATGGTAATGTCGCCCCCAAGAACCGTGTGTATGCTATAGAGCAACTTCGCCACAACCCGAAAGTTCGAGTAATACTTCTTACAATGTCCTGTGGCGCCTGTGGGTAAGACTGCTCTGTTTATGCACAGGTGAAGGGTCGCTAAATTTAGGATAAATAGGTTCAATCTGACGGCAGCTTCAGTATTACACTTGCTTCAACCCCAATGGAATCCATCACTCGAATATCAGGCGTTTGCTCGTGTACATCGTCTCGGGCAAACACGTCCAGTGACCATTTTCAAGTACATCATGTAGGACTCCTTTGAAGAGGTATTTAGTCCTCAAACATACGTGGTAATCAGCATCTAACAGTGTACAGCACATTCTAAAGGTGCAAGATCGCAAAAAATTCCTGGCCAATACACTCCTGTCGGACAGATCTGTTATCAAAGTAAGTCCTGCTTGATACCAATAGGCCTTGTTCATATGATTGAAGACAAATCTTTGCTGAATAAAAGGTATACAGGACCTACAAAAGCTACTTCATGAAAAGAGACATCAGGCGGGCCTAAGTTAATAATTCGAATATTGACTTTATCAGAGGTTTTTACCTTTGAGGACTACACATCCACACAAGGAGATGCTAATCGAGACTATGCTTTGATTTACATGTCCAGCGGTTGCTAAATGTTCGTGCGGCTGCGAGCAAAGAAAAGTCTAGATGGGTGAGGGAAGGACCAGCTTATTGGAGAATAAGACCCTGGTAGAGCAGCATCTATCAGGGCCCTTACATCGAGCTGTATAGCGTACGTAGTAAAGCTAGAACTGGGGAAACCAGACAGGCCCCGAGTTAATTGCTATGGCGCGTATTAGTGATCATTCCACCTCACCGCGCATCGCATTATCGGTCGCCTTAGTTACAAAAAGCCGAGTAGTGAGATAATAGTACATCACGAGCCAAGTATGCAACGAAGTGAGATATATCAGTCGCGAAACAAAAGGTAATTAGGTATATTTTTGCTCTCGAAAGTACTCCAACTATAGCCTCGACTTGGCAGCCTCGGGATCTGCCACCTTTACCAGAATTTTGCCTATAATCGTCAGTCTCCAAGTCTATATGCATCCAGTTGGCAAAGAAAAAAAAACATACCTGTGTTCTTGCCTTCAAACAGTCCAACCAGCGCTTCTTCGGCCTTGGTAATTCCGCCCTCATAAATAGTCTCCTTGCGCTTAATCTTGCCCTCGGATAGCCATTGCGCCAGCTCCTTCCTCGCCTCAGCGTATTTGTCCGCATAGTCGAAAATAACGAAACCCTGCATGCGAATACGCATCGAGATGATCATCATGTAGTTCTAGCACAGCAATTAGTATCGTCCCAACCACTCCCCTCGAATCGTATCCACATACCTTGAGTCCAGCCGGCTTCTTGTTGTTGTAATCAGAAATCGCACCGCAAATGACGAATCGTGCATGCGGCTTCGCGCGACTCAAAGCCAAATCGAGAATCTCTCCGCCTACGTTATCAAAGAAAAGATCAATCAGTCCCTTGGTCGCAGCGCGGAACTTGTTCACAAAATCCGGGTCCTTGTAGTTGAGCGCCTCGTCGAATCCTAGCGTGTCCTTGAGCCACGCAACTTTGCTATCCTCGCCCGCAAGCCCCAGAACCTTTGCGCCCTTGAGCTTAGCAATTTGGCCCACGACACTTCCGGTTGCGCCTGCCGCACCGCTCACAACGACAAAATCTCCCGGTTTAACCTGACCAACATCAAGGAGACCAAAGTACGCTGTAAGTCCCGTCATCCCAAGGACACCCAACGCATCCGTTGGCACAGCGCCCTCGGGAAGATCCAGAGACTCGACGTCCTTTCCTGGAATCACGGCGTACTCGGCCCAGCCGCACATGGCCTTTGCGTAGGTGCCGACGGGGAATTTTGGGTTTTTGCTCGCGAGGATGAGGCCGATGCCCTGTCCGCGCATTACCGCGTCGATTTGAACCGGAGGAATGTAGGAGCGTGTGGGATTAAGCCAGCCACGCATGGCGGGGTCGATGGAGAGATAGAGGGTCTGGAAGAGGACTTCGCCATCTTTGAGCGAGGAGGCCGAAGGGATCGGGTGAGACTTGGGTGTGAAGGTTTTGCCAGCTACGATGCCGTCCTTGGGTCGCTCAGCGAGGTGGACTGATGTGTATGAGGGCATTTTGGTGTTGGTCCCAAAGAAAAATAGTCGGAAGACAGAATATCGTGATGGGTATCGACTGTGTAGTACTAATAAGCTTCCGAGGTTGAGAGCTGCGCCGCGTAGCTATCACAGCAAACGTGTCAAGAAAAGGGACAAAAGCAACGGTGCGACAATAAGGAAGGATCCCAAGGTACGGGTCGCCCGCCATTTTGTTTGCACGCTGTCTGGCATTCGCACAGATTAAGCCGGACCAGCCAGATTGGAGCTGGCATGCAGAGGATTGCGGAGAAAGGTGCCGAGGTTCGGATGGGAACTTCCTATTGCGGACGCTGGGGTAGGTGCGCCGCGTTGGCGCTGACGCCTAAGCGCCGCGGCTATCATGTAATCACATTGCTGTCTGCATATAGAAGGCCCGAAGAAATGGTTCCTGCGAATACAATCGGCGCAGTGGAGAAGGTATACTGGAGTTCAGGAATGCAAGATGCGGTGTGTTGGATTTATGCGGCAGATTGAACTGCTACGTGCATAATACCAATCCCACATCGGAATTCTGAGAACATGCATGGTATCTTGTCATTCAGCAATATTATGGTTAGGAATAGCCAGGGAGACTCGTCATTCTTCGGCTCCCTCCTCCATCTCAACGTCCCCCTCTTCGCCTTCTTCTTCTTCTCCGCCTTCGGCCCACCATAGTGTCGGACCAAGACCTGGTTGAGCCATCGAACCCTAGACACACAATCAGACGTCTACTTACTCGGTGAGTGTTCATGTACTTACAATCACTCTCCAGGCCGTGGGTCTCTCTTCAATGATCTCGCCTTTTTCATCTTTTTCTACAATCGTCGGCCGCTGATCAAACCACTCTTCGTGTTCTACCCTGAACAGCACCGGCTCTCCCTTGTCAAAAAAGAGCTCTGTTCCCTCCGAGTTCCACACCCAGACATTCTCTGCTTGCGAAAATGACGAGTTCTCTGGTAGATTCTGGTACGGTATGAAGACTTCTGAAGTGAATTCGAGATCAATAATGATACCTTCTTGGTTAGATGATTTTATGCGCCCATAGATAATCTCGCCACGAAAAGGGCGGAAGACAGTCATGCGGAACTCGACTGCATTTGGCGTGAGTATGAAGATATTAGTAGACGAGTGGTGACGGACCGTTGACATTTACAAGTCCAGTGCCATGGCCGATGAGACCCTCGGAAGCCGAGAGTAAATCCCACATACAAAGACAGAGGCCAATGTTGGGAATGATTCTGTTGCTATACTTGTCGTTGATGACATCCTTGATGGCTTGCGCGCTAGGCTTCTCAAAGTCCTGCGGCTTGATTTGGATCAAGTCTTGAATCGTGGTCTAGGAGTGAGTCAGCATTTCTCCATGTAGTTTTTCCCACAGCAGCGAAGCGTGTTGCACAAGGGTAACATGTGACTGTGAAGGTAATGATGCTTTGAAATTTTCGACAGCGCATAAGAGTCATGCCTCGGGTTCTGGAGCACTGTTCGAGTTGAACTTGACTTACGAGTATGAACATGTTCGCAGCTTTGGAGGCTTCATGGATTTCGGTGTAGTAAGCGCTCGTCACCTATACATTTTGATTGAGTTGTGAGAGTCAAGAATCAGAGGCGCAACTTGCGCAATGATTAGCGTGGAGCTAGCGTTATCGATAACAACTTTTTGGATTGTCGTCGGACCCCCGAAGCGCGTCTCATCTCCTGCCGTTCCCAACTTTTCACTCTTCTTCGCCAACTTCATTGCGCTTTCCCTTTCAGCGGTCATGTGCCCGGCACAATGAGATAGATATAGCCTTTTTAATAAAAAACCTCAAACCTACCATAATGACGTTCAAATTTCCTCCGCCTCCGCCGCCGCCGCCGCCCAAGGCTACGTCAAACGAGCAGACATACCCAAGTCAACGAGAAGGTCACAACCGAGGAGGAGGCGAAACAGGCCGCGGAAGAGGAGGATATCAGAACAGAGGTGGTGGCTTCCATAACGCTGCCGGGAACTCAAGGGGTGGTCATGGACAGAATCGTGGGCGAGGAGATGCGCGTGGCAGAGGCCAAAGGGGAGGTTATCAAACCAACAGAGGGGGTGGATACCATAGGAACGACACCAGATATGGCCATGGAAACGATCTCAGGAATGCGCCGCAGAAAGCCACCTCACCAGAAGCACATGCCAACCCCCAGTCTCCACCGTTCGCATACAGCCAGCCCGGTCCTCAGTATTCTCCGCCCAAGCATGCAGGCCAGAAGCGAAAATTGAACGACCGCAACGGCAATGCGCAATCGCAAAGGAACTCCCAGCAACACAGCTCCAAACCACCCCGAGCCAAGGCTGCCGTGCCACCACAGGTACCCAGCTTTGGCTTTTCGCTGCCGCTACCTTCGATCCCGAAACCGGACAACAAGAAGCGCAAGGTCACTCTTGGGCTCTCACAAAAGGTTGAGCAGGATGAAAGTAGTGGTGAAGAGGACGTCGACGAAGAGGCCGCATTTTCTGCGAAACTAAAGAGTGGGGGCTTCGCTTTTGAGCACGAAGGAGAGACCATTACAATACAAACGGGCGCTGAAGTTGCAGCATGGATCAAGGATCGCAGGAAAAACTTTCCAACACAACAGAGGATCATAGAAAAGCAGGAAGAGGCCGCGCGCAAACGTTCAGCAGAGCTCGAGTTTTTGCGCAGAATGAAAGGGAAGCCGCCAAAAGAGAGCGAACCAGTGACACCCATTCAAAAACAACCGAACAAGGATCGGAATGGAGCCAAAACCGACAGCGCAAAACAAGAGGCGGAAAAAAGGAGACAAGAGGAGCTGGCTACATTGCGCAAAAAGTTGCACGAGAGCATGGTGAAGAAGCAGTCGGCACCAGCGACGGTAGACCTTGGACTGGGATATGATAGCGAGACAGAGTCGGACGAGGAGAGCTCGGTTCTCTCCGAATCATCGGTCGTGTCCAGTTCAGAAGAGTCAGATTCAGATTCCGGTTCCGATTCAGGGAGCGACGAGGCTCCAGAAACGGCATCATCAAAAACTGCGCCGCCGCCAATAAAAGTCCCACCTCCTCCGCCTGCGACTTCGCGAGCAGAAACGAAGAGCAAAAAAATGTGCACAAACTGGAAGCGAAATGGAAGGTGTCCGTACTTGAGCAAATGCAAATACCAGCACCCACCAAAGGAAGAGGATAATAAGCGTCAGGGGCTGTATGAGCGCATGGTAGAGCAGGAACTTGTCAAGGCGGACCAGCTCGCGCTTGACGCGATCAAATACCTGGGGCAGAATGGATTTCTGGGGTGAGCATGCAAAGGGTATCTGGTGTTTGATACTATTCTCCAATGACATAGGTACATCCTTGGCTGCCAACCCAAACTTCATGCACCTTTTGCGCATCGACGTCCCATCGCGCGCCAGGACCGACAGTCTCCTTCTTGGCACCAGGCTCATCAGGGTAGGTGTATGTTAGGGAGCCGTCCAGGACCAGGTGTGTGGTTTTGCCGCTGTGCTTGTGCGGCGGGTAGTGAGCATTGCTACGCGGTGGTCAAACAGACGTAATATATGTAGGGAGACGGTAACGCAAACTTACGGGCCATCTGTCCACGTGAAAACATGGCCGAACCCCCACGACCGAACTTCGCTCTCTGCCTCTTTCCGTGACTTTGCCATTATGCATGTGCTATGTATATATAGTTCGTGTTAAGTGCGACGAATAAGATGGATGTTTCGAAACGGCTGGACCCTGACATTCTGGGTGACGTCGATGGAGCTTGGCAAGGCGGGTGCGGGAGGGCAGCGATCAACGCAAACAGGGTATCGTTCCTCATTCACAAGCAAATGGCTTGATGCAGTATTTTTCTATCCAATGCTGCGTGGCATTTATCCATGGGTTCACGCCCTTGTCTTGCGCCCCACCCATTGGATCATCAAACGCCGATGCGGCAGCCAAGGCAGGCTCGAGCTGGAATATGAGGCCATTGCATCCATGCCTGCTACGACATGACCACCTGCCTCTCCTCTCTTCTTAGATACTTCTGCCACGCTCAAATCCCCTAGACGCCCAAATTGACGGCTGTATTGCAGTAGACGAGCATCGATCTTCCCCAAGGTATGTTGCGCACGATTCAGGGGACACGCAAACACATACTTGAAAGGGAAACGCTGACATCGTTCGAGACAGCTGAGCTTCCTGCAGTCCTGCAGTCAGCATTCCTCCAAGAATTCGCCGATCCTGGATAACTAGGCGCCATCGTCACCTTGCGCCTTTGCTTTTGTTCTTGTTCCCATTGTTCTTTTCAGTTTCCTACCCTCCCCTCTACACGCCTGGTGTTGCTGCCCGCCCCAACACCCCCACGATGCCGGACCCCTCCAAGGATAGCAAGCTGGGTACGCCCAAGCTCGACAACCCCCAGCTCCAGGCTGGAGGAGGAACAGCCGCTGTCGCCGCCAAAGCTCGTACCCTTGATGATCTGTCAAACCTCCAAAGCTACCTCCGAGTCGTATACAACGAGATCCTGGCCCGTCACAATCTACAGACCAAGGACGGACAATTGAGCTGGCTCAAGGAGCAGAATGGCCCCGGCAAAGACTTCGAAACTACAATAGACAGTCACCTAGAACTCCTGGGCGACGGCTCGTTTTCCTCCTTTGCCAATTACTTTGCCTCAGGACTAGGAAATGTCATGAAGCCCGCACCACCTCTAGATGAATCGCACCCGATTTCCGACTACTTCATCTCCTCCAGCCACAACACATACCTCACTGGTAACCAGCTCTCGAGCGACTCGAGTATCGACGCTTATAAAAACGTCTTGATGCGAGGTTGTCGCTGCGTTGAGGTGGACGTTTGGGACGGTGACGAGCTCTCCGACTCAAGTTCAGATGAAGAAGCTGCTAGAGGCAATCCTGGCGCCGACGCAGCGAGGAAAGAGAAGAAGAAATCCAAGACTGGTCTGAGCATTCGCAAACGCCTGGGCTTGAAATTCGGCAAGGACAAGTCAGATGAAGAAAAGGTGGAGACGCCTCCGCCGCCGCCTCAAAATGACACGCAAAAGATCGAGCCCTGGCACTCTGCTTCATTCAGCTCCCGAGCGGAACCAAAAGTGTTTCACGGTTACACTTTGACCAGTGAGATGACCTTTCGATCTGTTTGCGCAACCATCAAAGAATATGCGTTTGCAGTATCCAACCTACCCCTCATTGTCAGTCTGGAAGTACACTGTGGTCCTGAGCAACAGGAGATCATGGTCGAACTCATGCAAGAGTACTGGAAGGGTATGTTGCTTGAAGAGCCACTGGATCCAACCCAGAGCTTAAATACGGTCGGCTTGCCTGCACTTAAGGAACTGGAAAAGAAAATTCTCGTCAAGGTCAAGCGTGGTCATCCCAAGGTATCCCCTCCTCCCGAGCCACAGGTTTCCGCAGTTGGTGGGTCAGTGCCCGTGTTAGAACACACTGCAAGCCAGGACTCCGTAGGCTCAGAAGATGAATTTGGGCCAGACGGCGAGAAGAAGCCTCCTGCGCCAAAGCCCAAGGTCATAGAGTCTCTAGCGCGACTGGGTGTATATTTTGGCGGCTATTCATTCAAGAGCTTAGACACTCCCGAAGCGAAGATACCTACCCACATCTTTGCGCTTTCAGAAAACACACTGATGGACCTTCACGAAAACAACCCTACAGAACTTTTCGATCACAACAAGCACTACTTTATGCGCGTGTATCCAAAAGGTCTCCGGCTGACGTCTTCGAACCTCAACCCTTCCGTCTTTTGGCGTGCGGGAGTCCAGATCGTAGCTCTTAACTGGCAACGCTGGGACGGTGGAATGATGCAGAACGAGGCCATGTTCGCAGGTACTCCTGGATGGGTTCTCAAGCCAGAGGGATACCGCAGCACAAGCACTGCAGCAACACAAAAGACAGCCATCCCTCACCAGGACATGGATCTGAGCATCGAGTTCATTGCCGGGCAGAACATTCCTCTGCCTCCAGAAGAGGACGACCCCAAAGACTTTAAGCCATATGTCAAGGTCGAGCTACACGTTGAGTCGCACGAAGAGCGGAATGCCGAACCCGTACAAGGCAACGGCAGGAGCCAAAAGGGTGAATACAAAGACAAGACCAAGACGGCCAGGACTCCGAATCCCGACTTTGGTCGTGAAGTCATCAAGTTCACTGGCGTACAGGGGGTGACGGACGAATTGACTTTTGTCAGGTGAGTTTCTTTTTCTTTTTGTCGCTACGTGTATACATCGCCATGGGTTACACGCATCGCCTCTGCGCATACCGATTCAGACCCGACCTATCGCACAAGATGTCCCTGCATGAATTCCCAGACCTGATCTGGTATTCGGTGTGCTTGTGTGCTACGTAGGCACGGCCTGATGGTTTCACAGGCGCTGAAGTGGGATGTGGAGATAACGGTTGTGGCATCTTGCCTGGACCCAATCTGCCAAGCTGCACAGTGCCGTGATTCCGGTATCAGGCCTCGTCATTTTCTTCGCTATGACAGGGCTATCGTGTCTTGCCTTGCCTTGCTCGGCTCCTGCAGCGAGGCCTGCTTCGATGCAATAAAATCAAGCACTGATCGCTGTGACACAATTGATGTCATCGTACCTAGGAGCATGCAACCAAGTTCCAGTAACACATGCTAACCTTGTGTTTCTACAGATTCAAAGTCATGGACGACGAGCGCATCAGCGACGATCTGGCTGCATGGGCCTGCTTCCGTCTTGATCGTCTACAAACCGGTTACCGCGTCCTCCACCTCTACGACGCAAACGGCGTGGTATCCAAAGGCGCACTGCTGGTCCGCATCACGAAGACGGTTAGTGCGGCTTGAGTTATCTCATGACCGTAGAGTATCTGCTACTACTACTATCATTACCATTATTGTTATTTCTTACAATGTCTTTTCTTTTCCTCAAATCACGTCATACTTACATACTATATGTGACCTATTTAGGTTCGGTGAAGGGGGGTTTGACTAATGCGGATGTTTTAGTTTTTTCCCGTCGGCCCCCGGTTTGGGCGTGGTAAACAGTTTTCGCATGATAGTCTACATAAACATCAGGGACGCGGTAGGACGCAGTCGTTGTATCATCCGACAAAGGACGAGAAGAAGTGGTATCAGGTTGGACGTCAGAAATCTGTTCGGCTCTGAAAGTGTGAAGGTGTAAAGTGAGATTCAATGCTCTTGGAGCGATGGCGCTATTAGCGGGATAGTTACAGTCTTTCCTCGGCTTTCCTAAGTGAACATGGATGTTCATATTGTTACTCAGGTTGAGTCCATCATACATCACATACCGCCCAACCTTAGTATTCAACAAAACAGTCAAATCGAGCATAAACCCAACAAAACTTTTATTTGACTGACAATTTCGAACCAAACCCCACACGCAGCCTACAAATACATTTTCCCAATTTCAACACACTACCCTCCCCCCTCCTCCTTTCTGCCCCAGAAAATGCAAATCCAAACGACCGTCCCGAGTTCAAATGCATTGCAACTCTCACCCCACATCTTTTCCTTAATTTGCAATTCCAACCAGCCATTTCTTTTTTTTTCTAGTCACCATCCCCATCCCCGCTGTTAGACCGGGTATGTGTAGAGAAGTAAACGACTGCTCTAGTTCACAGGCGTCCCACACTCATGACAATTTTTCCCGGGGATAACCCAGACTGTGTCGCCGCGTTCGAGGCAGGCGGGGCATCGACGACCGGGAACCTTTGTTCTTATCATTTAGCACATTCCTTTATTCATTTGTTTTTGTTTTTTTTGGGGGGGGGGGGGGGGAGAGGGAAGGGGAGGTGGAGAGGAAAAGGAGGAAAGCAGGGAAAACGTACAGGCATTGTAGTTATACCTTCTTCGTCGTTCATGCAGGGGATTGAGAGGGTGGAGAAGGGGAAGTGCTTGCACATCTTTCTTTTTCGTAGCTGGCTTTGATGGGGGGGGGTTTTTTGGGTGAGGGGGAAGGTAGGATGAGTGAGCGTGGTGTGGGACTGAGAGATTGAGGTAGAGGCGGTGGATGGAGATGGAAATGGAGATGGATAGTTGATCTCATATACTGATTGTTTATAGATTTTGCATGACGGCTATCTAAGACTAAATGGATACATGTGCAGGTCATGGTGTAACACGTGTATTGTGGCGTTTTTTTAGCCGGTATGGAGATGCAACTTCCCGGCTTGTGATTGATGGGGATGAGATGTGAAGTTTTCTGAGCTTCTCGTTTGCTCGGATATCGCCGTTGCGCATGTGCGGGGGTGAGATGGTGGAGTCTGTCTCGTCTTGGTGACTGGATAAAGTGCTGATAGTTGGATTAGTGAATATTAGTGGTACACAAGTCATGTATGTAATGCGAGGCGGAGATTTGAGTGTTGTGATCCCTGCCGATTTCCCCTTGGAAAAACGCTAGATGTGTTCGAATTGAGGTTCCATGCTGTGACACACTGATGGAGACGCTGGTATACACGGGTGTCACAGAGAAATAACGGTCCAGACGAAGATAGTAAAGGTATCCCCTTGGTCCTTGTTCACTGGTATGATGCCAACGTTGGCGGGATACAATGGTACTGCGCACTCTAGTATCTCCTTTCGAACGCGGAAAGAATGCCATGGTTTGCATGAGCATATATTGAATCATGCAGATATCAATACACGTACCGTCTGGGCCTTTCTTCTCTCTAAATTGCAGACTTTATTGCATTCGGTAAACTGCCTCATGTCTCATGCATCTTGATTTCATTGGTGAAAAAGTAGGGAAAGCGGGGTGACATCTCGTTTGCTAATTGCGTAATTCGGTACCAAGATTGTTAGCGTCAGTGTTGTACTGGATAGTAACGATGAAGACAAAACTGCACGTCGTTTGAGCGGGTGAGACACGTCGATTCGCCTCGTCAAATTATGGACCTCTGTTTTGTGCACCAGTTTTCAACACGCCGGTCCTTCGTCTTCACACTATCCAGTATTACTGATGTAATGGAATCAAGCATGACATTGATTGACAAAAGAGGGAAAGAAGCGGCTCTTGGGCACTGTTACTCGTTTTCTGCTCCTTGTCAGAAACAGCAACACCCTGGCCCACATATTTCCTGTAATTTCGTAGGTAGTAAAGCTTAAGAGCGCGTACTAGTTGTGCATTGTGGTATGTGCACCAAAAGACAGGGATTGTTGCTGCACGGAATAATTGATATCGGTCGATCGGATCGCTGGTGCTAATGTTGTACTACTACGGTTGTCTGTTTAGAGTGACCCTGCTGTTAGCCGTTCCCCTGGGCGTCTAGTCTGCAGCACTGGGCCGTTTGGTGCAACTAACAGGTGGCGAGGGTAGTGGTTGGACTGACAAGGAATTGTGGGACGTATCGGCGCTGCTACTTGATGGGCTTATGGCGATACGCGGATGTAGCGCTCTTTTTTGCGTGGTCTGGTTGTCTTCTAAAATTCATGTCTGAGGGAAGACGGTTTCTGTATCACGCAAGCCAGGAGTCAGGAACCTATGTATGCTAATTCACTTGGCATTTAAGTAAAGGAAGGAGCACCCTTGGACCCCTCAATGCATTGCTATCCATATCCCAGCACTTAAGTGAGCCACACCGACGGGAATGAAGATCCACTCAGGTATATTTAAACATTAACCCTATCTATTCGCACACAATGCCCAGGATAAGTAAAGAGAGTTGTCAGAAACTGGGTTGTTGAACAGATGAATTGATGCCAGATAGTCCGCCCATCTCCATCCATCTGCTTTCTACATACCCCTCCCTTGTGCCCTTATACTAACCCACGAAAAAAGAATCAAGAACTGGTGCATATGCACTGTACTGCACTACACTCCAACTCTCACCGAGATGAGGAGTGAGAGTGGCCTACACAATTGTGTATGTGTTTGTGTGTGTATGTGTGTATGCTGATGTAATGCCTTAAACGCCGTAGTATCCAGATATGCTACAGATGCCTTTTGAGCCCGGGAATCAAACTTGGTCATGATCGTCGTAGAGTGTGATGAAGCGCACGCTGGCCTATGCAATGGCATTGGACCAGCTCACCACTTGTGGTGAGCGGTAACAGAGACAGCACTAAGACTGACTGGCTGTCTGGCGCTCATGCTGTGTCATGACCCACCGCATCTTGTCGCGCGTCTCGACCATGGCGTCTACCAGCTTCTGAGCCTCGCGCTCCTTTTCTGGCAATGCGCGTCGCAGCCGCTCTGCTTCGGCAATCAGGGCATCCATTTCCTTGCGGTGCTCCTTCTTGTACGCTTCCATGAGGTTGGTGAGCTTGTTCTCGGTTCGGTTGGAGCGGGATGACTCGTGTTGGAGCTGATCGCTTATTATAGCCTGACGCTTGATCTTATCGGCGTCTTCTAATCGCTTGCGTCGCAGCTCGTTCAACTCCTGGTTGATGAGGCGGACCTTGTTCTCGTAGCCGTCGGTGATGCGCTTGAAGCCGTCTCGTGCCGTCTCGAGGTTGGTGTCTGCCAGACCCTTCATTTCGTACGCCTGTGCCAGCTGTCGCTGCGTCTCTGACCTAGTGTCACCCAGCATCTTGAGGGCTTCCTCGGCTCTCTGCTCTGCCATCTTGCGCCGGCGGATCTCGGTGTCGAGCGTGGCCCTGAGCTCTTCCAGCTTCCGGTCCTTCCGCTCTATGGCGCGCGCATTTGTGTCAGCGAGCACTTGGAGGTGCTGGTACTCGGCACGCGAGTCTTCGGCTCTGGTTTGGGCGGCAGATACGCGCTTGGCCTCATCTTCTCTGGCCAGCTTCTCGGCAAGCAGTTCTCGGCGCAGGCGGTCGTTTTCTTGGGTAATCTTGTCAATGTACTGCGAAGTCTTTGAGTTTGGCGTGCTGTGGTGATTTGGGCGGGCCCAGGAGTTGTTGTCGTCGGTAGCCATTGGGGCTTTGTCTACGGCGAAGGGACCTGAGACGTTGCGATGTGACGTATACGATGGCATGACAGCCGGGGACTTGGAGCGTATGGGGGTTGCGTTCGCAGTGCGAAGAGCGTCGTCAGGCCAAGGTGAAGCGTTTATGTCATTTCTCTGGAGAAGGCGGCTGAAATTGAGTTCGGGCAGATAGGGAACAGAATCTTTGTGTCACCAGTTAGCATCAACTTGGGGCTGCGAGCGTCCCGTCGGATAGAGGTGGTGCGAAGGCAGGCAATTGCTGCGTGGAGGCGGTAATGCGAGAGGTGATGGTGGTGTTGACGCCCGTTCCCCGAGATACGCCATGTAGCGCACAGGGCACAGGGCACAAGGCACAACGAACGAACGACAGGGGCCCCACTTGTCGCGCTAAGCCTTACCTGGAACCGCAGTCACCAAGACTCCCTTTTTGCGGCGAAACATGATCCATACTACGCTTCGAGTGCGCATTTCCGTCGGCCTGGCCATCTGTTTTGTAATCAGTCGGGCCATGTCTGTTGAGACTCATCCTTTGTCTGCCCCAGCACCTCGCTGACCTCCCATAGGCCGCCTGTATCAATGCACCGCATAGACGGCAATCTCATGGGAGATTGTTGGCGACAAGAAGACAAAAAAGCATGTACCCTGTGGCTCCTGGCATTGTCTCGTACCTTTCCCATGGCTGTCGCTGTCTGGTACTTGTGTATATCTCCGTGTACAATAGGCTGTCTCTGATTCACTTGCGATGCGCTTGTTCCGGTCCGTCTGAAGGGCGAGGCTGGCAATGGCCGAGTGCGATTCTTTTCTCAACCAGACCGTGGGCCAGACAAGACTCATCTATCTTTGTACAATGCCTGGACTAGCCACCTTCAGCTGTCTGCTGTCCTTCCTTCTGGCCTACTTGCCTCCGTCTTCATCGCAGAATCATCATAGACATGCAGGGTGCGCCAATCACAGAGGTCCCTCTAACCAGGTACGGGCCGCTATGGGGCCGGCTCCCCAGCAACAGCCTTACTCCAAGTGACGTGTGCGTGTCCACCCCTATGAAACGCGCCATGTCAACCTCTGTCTGCAGCAGCGTTTTGCCGTGGCGGCCTACTTATTAGGGTTTGCGCTTGCTCGGACTTAGGATACACATGATATGTCTATTCTTGGGAATGCTAAACACATATATCCAACCGCCATGTACCCCTTGCCGACGACAATATCACAACTTCCTTTATCTCTCAAACAAGACCGATCAAACTCATGCGCCTCATGCTCCTCTTCCTACATACTCCACATCAAGCCACCCACGTGGCTCAGCTTCACCGCTAATGGAGCCCAGCCAATGTCTTGCTTACACACAAGACCATGCATTGGACGGTAGATGACGACAACTAGTCATCCACCACCTTGCCCTATGTGTTGTCTGTTTGTCTCATCACGACACCTCGGCAACTCCTTCACATGCTATTCAGCCCGTTCAACCCAATCACCTGGGTAAGCGCGTAACAAGTTCAAGGCGGATAACTATTTTCCCCGACTATGTACACTGCCTATGAAACGAACTCCAGACCCGCATGCCAGAGTCTAGAACATATCGGGAGCCTTCCTCACGCGCGTCTTGCCTTCAAATGGCTTCTCAGACGAGATATCGTTGTTCCTCAGCTTCTCCAGCTTCCGCTCATTGTCTTCGTAGGCCAGTTTCTTATACTTTTCAATCACCTTGTCCATTTGAACCTGGCTTCCAGCAGGCACGTTGTACGGAGATCCAACGTTCATGATCCTGCCAATTGTTAGCATTCACCTCCCTTGATAATCACACGTTCCGTATTTTCATGTACAACTCCAGCCGGGCCTAACGTCGCATATCCTCCAATGTACCAAGGCAAGACGTACTCTGGAAACTTCATCTCAACGTGCTCCTGGGGCTTCGTGTTCAGAAACAGCACTCGGTCCTCGCCCGCCTGCTCAATCATCCTCACGTGCAAATCGTTCTGCGTAGTCCACTTGTCGTGCAGTCCGGTCGTAGCATCGGCAATCAAACGGGTAAAGTACGGCTTGCTGTCGTCGCCGTCGGTGCGCGAGAGGCTGTATAGGGCCAGACCTGCGGGGATGACGGCGATTGTGCCATAGAAACCCCACTACAAATCCCAATTGCGTCAGCACATCTTCTCTCCATTGTCTGATTGACATCTAGAATAGCATTGTGGTATTTGGGATACACGATTGAGCTGAGCCGGGGCAATGGGGAGGGAGGGGACATACGCCCATGGGTTCATCGACGGCCGGGCTTGCGTGGCCATGGGCTTCGTCGTGGGCGTAGCGGCGCGATTGGCGCGACAGCGGAGTTCGGCTCGTGCGGGCAGCAGCCACTGCTGTCCGGCGGAGTGACTGCATCGTGTGAGTGTAGGGCGGCGTTTGGAGGTCGTCGGCCGTTGCATTCGCGATGATGCTGAGCTGCGAGAAGCCGTTTTAGTCAGCAATATTAGCGGCTTGGCACATTGTGCAGTGCCAAAGTTGTTCAGTAGTTCCTTGAACCATTTCTTCAACGCGAACGCAGTATGAATTCATCAGACCAGGAATCACAAATAAGAGTCTCTCGGAATCAGCTCAAGGTCATCATAACCAATGTTTAATCGGATCTGGCATCAGACACGCAACGCACAACTCCAAGCACTTATTACCGTGAAGACACCGCGTAAGCAAGGTGCAGTGAAAATCACTCGAAACTGACCCGTTAGTTATCAGTACTCTCGTAAGCCATATCCCACATGTCTATCGTCATCTCTACAACCCGCGTATCATCCTGTTGTATGCGGATGTACCAGAGCGGTACGGGAGCAATACGACGGACAATGCCGAGATAATTTTAGATCCCCCCACCCCTATACGGTGTTGCAGATTTAAGTTGCACCTCTGGCCTGGTATCTCAAAAAACGCGCGCCTCTGACCAACTGTTATCTCTGGGCGAGATACTGGTACCAAAAAAATTAGCCTGTAGCTGTGATGCGCTCGTCGAGTAACGACACACGCCAAGATTTAGTGTGTTGCGAAGCACCACCTTCAGCCGCATATCGCAATCCTATCTTGCTGGCATAATCAGAATGTTTCTCGCGAGTCCATTAAATCCAATCCAAGCATATCATGTTGTGGGGGTGGACCATGCCTCGCCTTCAATACAGCCCACGGGTCAGCTTATGTCATTTTATCATACGCCGAACTCATAGTCCGCTGCGCCGCACCGCAAAACCATTCAATCTCCGTTGTATGCTTACCTCTATTTTTTTTTTAAATTCGCGTATGATAGTCCACTTCAAAGCAGACAAATACAGGTACACCATACTTCTCGAATGGACAACCAAACACTTACCTCTATTTAGGGATCAATCCAGTCTATTGGCTCCCCGATCCGTTCATGAGCTTGCGTGTGTCATGATGAAGAAGGTAAGGTCCTAGGCTGCTAGTCGCTCCACTCGTCCCGTTCGGTTTCGATTCCAGAAGCCCCCTGTAAAACAAACTTTCCTTCCTGCGCAAGTTCTTTACTAGTCAGAAACGCCAAACGCACCAATAAGAATAAGCATTTCAACGTTGAATCTCATGGTTGATCTACTACACGGGGATTCTCGGCGCAAAATCTCCGACAAAGAGACAATTTAGACACACACCCGTCTCACCCGTGCTTTTCAAGGAATCAACACTTTTCAATAAAGACAGTAAGCATCTCGCAAAATCTAAGTTCGTGTCCGATTATTCAGCGGGCCCAAGGGCAGCCGCTAGACGCCACTACCACTAAAATGGTTCTCGATACGACGACCTAAATTTTGAGGAAAACATAGTTTGCCCATTTTGGAATGACCCATGCTATGTATACGTATGCATGTTACGACGGATGTTGGTGCGTACGTCAAAAAACCACCCCGCCAAAAGAACCCGGGTGTTCCGTGCAGAGCCTGAGCCTATCAGTTACATGAAAAGCACCGGGTTCTTGGACTTGGCTCATTTATCGTAGCAAGTGTACATGTTTCGAGACAGCTATGCAGCAGTGGATGCCGCCTTATTCTTACATACACTAGATCCAGGAACCCGGTACGACAAGGCGATTACACCAGAAGCCAGACTAGGGGCCCATGGCTTGTGCTATGGCGCGACTGTGGCTTTGTGAAATACGGACCTATCGTCACCAGCTTATGTGGAAACAGCCGTAAAATCCATGTCTCCCTGAACTTTCAGTCCCCATTTCTGATAAGCAGTGCTCCCTTTTGACTGATCCACTCCCTTGCCAAATTCACATCGCAGTCCTTGCAACATGCATCGAGCGGCGTCGCTCGTCCCAAAGATCCTTCTGGGAATACTTTCCCTCTGTATTTTCTATCAAGTTTACTGGTTAGAGCCAGAACCAGTTGCGTTGCAGCAGAGTGACATTTCCAAATCAACATGGTTCCAAGATGCGCAAAAGCCACAATCGCAAGACGTTCAGGGTATGGGAACTTGAGAGCAGTTATAATTGCAATCTTGTGCTTACAATCTATTAGGATCTAATAGTCCCACTCTATCAGCATCCGACGTATTCATTCCCTTACCACCCAGCTCATCCACTCCTTCACTATTTGTTACCTCCGCTCTTTTAGCCTCCAGTACCTCCGCTTCATCAGCTTCCAGTACCCCCACTCCATCGCTCGACTACAGCAAAACGCACATCTCCTACGGCCACACACAATGCATGCCAGATTTCGACAAGCACTGGAGGCAACAAGCAGTCATACGCAAAGAATCATGCGCAAAGCATGCACCCTTTGAAACCAAAGAGACCCGCCGAGTCGCCCTCTCCTCCATCACGACCGGCAAAAAAGTAGAAGCCTACCAACGCGCAGTCCAATCGCACATGCTCCACGCCGCCGTCCACGACATCTCTGCCCACATCCTCTGCGAAGACCTTGCCGACGGCGCCTGGAACAAGATCGCCTTCCTCCTCCACCTCGTCCAAAACGAGCTACTCAAGCCCAAGAATAAGCGACTAGAATGGATCCTGTGGATCGACCGCGACGCCATAATCATTGACCCATGCCGCCCGCTCTCCAGCTTCCTTCCCCCCGACACCCCGGAATACGCAAACGTCAATCTCATCGTCAACCGCGACGCCGGCGACCTAAACGCCGGCCTATTCCTCTTCAAAGTAAACGAATGGTCCGCCAACCTCTTCAGCACCATCCTCGGATACCGCTACTACCGGCCAGACGACAAACTCCCATCTGCAGAGCAAACAGCCATGTCCCGCCTCATCAGCGAGCCCGCCTGGGCCGGAAAAGTAGCCTGGGTCCCCTGGTACTGGTTCAACGCGTACCCGGCGCCCAACAACAGCATTGTGGATTTCGCCGCCGGCAACGAGCCCAAGAGTCTCAAGTGGTTTCAGGCGCGCAAGGGTCACTTCGTTGTGCACTTTGCGGGCGACGATGGCAGAAGCGCGCGCATGCTGGAATGGGAAGATGTCATTGAGACCATGGATGTGTGGAGGGAGGGCACTGCAAAAGTGGATGTCACGGCTGAGGTGAAGAGGTATTGGGATGCATTTAGGAGTGGGGCGCTGAAGTTGTGGCAGAAGACGGGGGATCCGAGGGATAAGGAGAAGGAGGCTAAGGAGGAGGAGGCAAGGAAGAAGGAGGAGATGATGAGGGTGAAGGAGATGGAGGAGGTGCAGGAGGCGAAGAAGGCGCTGGAGTTGGGGATTGTAGAGGAGGCTACGGAGGTGCGGCAGGGGGAGCGGTTGGAGGTTGATGAGACGGCGAATCCGGGGGGCTTCAAGAGGCCGTATGAGGATGTTGCTGATGGGAGCAACCATGATGACGGTCAGCTTCCCTAGGTTATCGTATTGCTTTCTACTTTCTTTTCCTTTTTCTATTCTCAGGTTTGGCAGTTAGGATGCCATTTTTTATCCCCTTTCTTTTCCTGGGTTGAGACGATGTATCCGACCGCGATGGGAAATTTTGCGATGGGTATCAGGCGTTTCCCCTTACTTTACGCTTCTCGTTACGATATCCAATTAGACTTCAATTTTCACCTGGTAATCTAGAAGATATTTGGTAGGGCTGGTTTGTGGCTTCGCGCCGTTTTTTAGGGTTCTTTTTAGTATGCTCATCACTGGGTCGTTGGCGCCACGCTTCTGCAAGGGGGTCGTGAATACGTCATCATTTTGTCTGGAACATCTCCCCTTTCTTTTTTCTGGTTGTTGTTCTTTGTTGTTGCCCCTGTTATGCGATTGTGCGAAACGTTCATAAGGGGGTGCACGCAAAGTATCGTTTGAAACGCAACTCTTGTGTATCATATGTAGTGTTTGTTTTTTGATAGCCAAAACTAAATTACATGTCCAGAGCTATGTAGCTTACTCAGATCCGAAGTTTTTCAAGAAATATCAGTCAAACCGATTCATCGAAACGATTCCACTCTCGCCAGGTATCCAATGTTGTTTATGAACCATATGCTTCCTCGGGGTGCGTAGACTGGCACTTGAAATCATGAATTGAGTATTTGAGATCGGCAGCAAAACTGCCATGTTGCAGATCTTACTCGATCCAATCCATGCACTTGTATCTCTCGGATTGAATACGCATCCAGAATTCGGTATAAAAGCCCACTTAATAATGTGTGAGCAAAAGCAAGTGTCTATGTGAGCTCGTCGTGGGATACTAGATCAAAATCTAACTTTCACAAAAAACCTTATAATATACTTTCTCATTCCCGTTTGACTGACAAAATTACGCTTTCCCATCTGTTTTCCCCATACGATCTTGGATTTAAAATTTTCGTAAGGGCTATCGAAGATTATAAGCGATTCAATGTGGGCTTCCTTGGTAACGTGCGCGACGATTGCTTTGATGGCGGCATAATCATTTGCATCAATCCCACACTTCAACAGAGAACTTATTTTTTTACTTTAATGTTGAGGAAGTAGACGATTAAGCTAAGGCCATCTTTTTTAGATGGGGAAAAACCTGTGACCACGTCGGCGTCTCATACACGCCTCGTGGGACTTCCCTTATACTCACAAAAGCCTCTACCACTATATATGCCCTGCTGACGATATAACTCACACCGCATAAAACACAAAGAGTCGTAATGAACGCCAAAGAATGCTAAGTGACCGTTGATTATAGGCGATCCATATCCTGTCAATGAGAGGGAAAATATGGGCTAAGAGATTGGTCACCAGCCAAAAGGCTGCACAAAATGTTACCCATACCGAGCTCATGCGCCGAAATAGTTGTTCCAGTTGAGTGGGGAAGAAATAATTCCATGCTGCTACGTGGATGCCGCCGTATGCCATGGACGCACCCAAAGTACCATTCCCATCACGAGGGATTGGGTGCGTCGAAGCAGACCGTCGTTGGGCCAGTCTATGGCGTATGATTGCACCAGTTCAGCTACTTCGGGTATTTTGTATGTCTGCTCTGGGAATTCTCTCTCGGGTACTGGGTGAAAGTGGTCTGTAAGGACTGGATGTAGCTGGAGAGCTTTTTCTGCAAGCCTTTGCAGCTCAGACGTAGCCTCCATTGGGGAGTTGCATGGTGCTGCCTCAGGTTCTTGGTTCACAATTTGGATATTGGGCCGTGGTCGTAATCTACCAGTAGTAGAGAGTCGAGTTGTATTTAAACCTTGCCTGTCGCCACACGTATCGGTTGGTACATTGTCATCTTCAAAGTAAGCTAATTTTTCCAGTTCAGGAGTGGATGATCGGAAGATAGCGAGCTTGCCTTGTGGTTGCTTCCCACTCATTCGGCTTGTCATGTACATGTAGGCGATCAAAGGCATCAAGTTTCCCTTCAAGACGGTGGGGGAGGTTACCTGGCGAGGTTTATGCCACCATAGAATATACATGACGAGCGCGCAAACAACATGGGCGACGACGTGTACTTCTAATAAAGTGGTTGGCAGTCCGATGGCAGTACGACTGATAACTTGGACAATCATCCATCCTGCTTGGATGCACACAAGGAGTTTCGCTAGACCGTCTGCTTTGTTCTTATCCTTGATCTCATCGAGGGATATCTCTACAACATACCCGCACTTGGCGAGTAGTGCAACACCTTTCGCCGTTAAGGTGAGGCGTGTCATATCGTTGAACAACGTCGGGTTTCGATGGTCGGTATTGTCTAGCTCGATGGCGAAACCACCCATACTAGCGTAAAACCCGTGTGTGATAGTCCATGAGGTTTTTGGGTCCCCCATATGAGATTCAGTCAACATTGTACTCTGGTGCTGGTTAGAATTTCCAATATCTGATAATCAATGTGATTACCTTATCATAAGTCTCGTTGCGGCGCTGCTGCCGACTTGTTACATTTTCTATCTCATGGCATAGCTGTCTTGCGGAAGCTAGCTGTCTCCAGGCGGTGTACAATATTAACTCTGGTGCAAATAAACCGAGAAAACACCATTGGAGTTCCCTCAGTAGCACTTGATAGTTGCCTTCGCCTTTGCGTGGTATATTGAGGTGAACAGCCGAGTAAACACACAGTCCAAGCGTAGCGAAGCAACTGATAAGCAGGGAAATTGTATCGCACTCGTTGTCCTCGTGAACAAAGCCTACAGTATCTGTTATATTGGCTTTGTTTCCACTGATGGCAGTGACTTTCTGGGCCAGGAAGAAGAAAACAGAGCTGCATATTGCTAAGGACATACTCTGAAAAGATCAGTGCAAAAGGTATAGAGGAGAGTGGATCTGTGGTTGCGGATAGTCCCGCTTGAACTATTATCGAAGCATCATTCATCTGCAGTGTGCCACGGTGCGTTATGTTCGCGTGACTGAGCGACAAAACAGATGTAGGATCGAAGTCACGTATCAAATATACGCCCTATGCAGGTTTTCGCATAATGTGACACACATCCATCAAAGACGTAGCAGACAACACTTGGTGATGGTTTTGGTCGAAGATAACACTGCAAGTACTACTTACTACACTGCAGGACCATGAACCATGCACTGCAATGCATTTCAATGCACTTCAGCATCTGATCCAATCCCGTATGCAGATTTCCCCACTCTCTGTAAGGTACGCTCGGCCTTTGCTGCATATTCTAGCCGCCTGAAAGCCATGCGCGTCACAAGTTAACCTCGGCTGGTTGATTGGACGGTCGGCATGAACCTGAGCACGAAGGAGTGGGAGGATTCAGTACCATGTAGGTGTTGAGCGCTTGGAATTGATCCGTGCACCGACCTTCCCGTTCTTGCAATGGAGCGCATACGCATCTACTTTCTCAACCAACTTGATCTCTTCAAACCAGAACTTTATCGAGCGTAAGATGGGTATTCATTCGCGAAAGCCCGCTTCAACAGTGACAGCAATTGCACAAAATGCAGTAGGTAGACGCTCACTGCGCGCATCAACATTGAGATTGACATCCGCCAGGCTGACTCATATGATCGAATGAAGAGCAAGGGGCGTACATCACTATTGATATGGAACGAGATACGTACGAAAGCGACTTGAAATTTGGTTACGAATAACTCACAATCTCTCTAGCCGACTGGTACCAGTACGTTCGTTGATATATCACCTATATTAATCCTAGCCTTACAAAGAGAAGGGACAATGAGTACATTCTGTCTGGCTATAGGTACGTTTTCAAATCTTATGTTGATATTTTGTTCCGCAGCTCAAAGGAAATCCAGGGCAGTATCCTGGTCTTACAAACGATCTTTGGAAAGTATTCTCGGCATTCATAATGAAACAGGTAGGGCTGAGCTCAGGCAACTGAAAAGAACATAATTAAAACATAATCTAGTCAACATATTTTCCCATATCATAGGATCTATTATCTTCTTCACCCTACCCATGCCCATCTACCGGTCTTTGCAACCAAGATATACCACAGCAACTACAGCAGATGTCGTTGTCTTCTCAACGTTCTTCTTTGGTGTTGCTATATGTTTTGCATTATCAGCCATGTAGGTATCTTCGAATCCCGATCTTACAACACCCAGATATTCACGTACAACACAGCTTCCACATCTTCAACAACCACAGCCAGAATGTCCACATATTTGGAAACTAACTCGATTATGTAAGAACACCTGATCTGTTATCCGCAGCCAGCCGCTCATTCAAACAGCTTGGCATCGTTATATTGATGTGGGGCTCCACGATTCCTTGCGTTTATTACGGCTTCTTCTGCACGCCCCACCTACAAAAGACCTATTACACCCTTGTATCAATCCTAGCAGCCGGTTGCGTGTACGCAACTCTGCACCCTGCTTTCCGTTGTCCAAAGTACCGCCCATATCGTGCAGCCATGTATGCAGGCCTTGGGCTATCGTTCGTCATTCCCATAATTCATGGAATCATCATATTTGGTTGGGAAACGCAGATGTGGAGAATGAGCCTTGACTGGATGGCGTTGATGACGGCATTCAACCTTGTTGGTGCGGCACTATACGCGATGAGGGTGAGTAACTGAACCTGAAATAATTCACTTCTGCTGTGCAAGCATAAATCTTATCGATGATAGATCCCCGAGAAGTGGTATCCTTATCGATTTGATGTGTGGGGCGCGAGCCACCAAATTATGCATTGCTTGGTCGTATGCGCGGGCATTGCACATTTATATGGTCTCTTGAGGGCATTTGACCATGTACACGGACACGGAGACGCTTGTACCGTATGACCCGGATGAACTTGACTCGCATGCAAGAAAAGCTTATCTCATGAAATACAATATCACACACGTAATGTGTACAGGCTACGTTGCCAGTGGAGCGAGTGACACCATACATCATGTCATCAACGCGCGATTGTGAACAAAATACGGGACTCTTAAATTCCGTATGGATATTTACGAATGGCATTTGAACGTAGCACTAGGTTACAGCTTTTGGACTACAATTGCGTCTTCTAGACCTTCTTTTGCAAGGTCAAGGGTGTGAGGATTTGCGGGCCGTGTCGTACCGCTGCCGCACGCAAACCAAAGTCGTCATGTTTCCCGAGTCCGTTTTGGGGATAGAACGAAAAATCGCGGGACATAAACAAAATCTCCTGCGTTTTAATGCCAGGATGACCCCGCGTCGAGTACTAGTTTCCAATGGCGCCAAGTCACTGCGTTTAGTCGTTTGACCTATTTACCACGACACCGCCTCAAGCGCGGCCTTTCATTTCGCACAACCATCGTAGTTCACAGGTCTAAACAACTAGCTACATAGCCATACACCCATAATCTGACCGGGCGAAAAGATAAGACATCGCCAATAGCTTACACCGCAATATACCTCGGTATCTCTCGGTCCCACCAAGCCATACAAGTAGCTAGTCCAGAGTGGAGCAAAAAGCCATTTCACCGCGTATACCACCGTAGTTAAACCAGGAAGATCGCATCTTGCATTTAATCAATTCTAGCCGCATTTCCAACATTCCCTCTTCCCCCCACTTCGTTTTCCCCAATTCCCATCACATTTCGCATCTCATCTTACCCCAATAACTTTATTTGAACTGCCAATATGTCCCGACCACTTGAAATTGTTGCTATCGTACAGCCAAAGCCCGGAAAAGTAGAAAGAGTGCGTCGCCTACTTGGAAGCTTTGTTATTGTTGGATCGTACCATTAACATGATATGCAATGAACAGGTCCAAGAGCTTCTGACTGAAGCGGCAAAAATCGTAAAGGAAACTGAACCAGGAGTCCTTCGATACCACCTCCACCGCGAAATCAAAGGCACAACACCGAGATTCGTCATGCTGGAGAAGTACGCCATCCTAGTTCCCCTACCCCTCCATCTCAAACCCTGCTCTTTTCGTCTCCAACTCTTCATCTCTTCTCTTTTCATTTCTACATCTCACCCCTACACACCGTCACACACCCTTTCCACGCCCAAGCCCTACACCTCATGGAACTCTACAAGGATACCCCCAGATATCCAAACGCTAACGTTGTCCGCACCGCTACAGATACGAAAACCAAGCCGCACTAGACACTCACGTAAAAAGTGACATTGGCGTTCGATTAGGCAAGACGTTTAAAGAGGAAGATTTGGTCGAGAGCCCGATGAAGGTTATTTTTGTGAAGAGCGTTGGGGGGTATGCTAGCAAGTTGTAGATATACAAAACACGTCATACCAACAGGTGCGTGGGAGAGGGAAGGAGGAGTATTTAATTTAGTGTTATCAAAGCAAGCGATGGGGGATAATGTTTGAATGAATTTCCTTGATTCCAAATTCAACAAGATACAAGAAAGTGAATATTTTACTCGACATAGTCGATCGGTAAGATAAATAAGTAAATATGTAAGTGATTGAAGGGTCTTGGTAAAAGTGCCAGGATCGAGTTCCAGAAGAAATAAGTAACAAGCCTCCTGAAGCGACATCAAAACTTGGCATCTTCTCAGCGGCCTCCCATTTTAATTCCCACCATACCAATAATCCTCGAAAAACTCCACACCCTGACTCGTCCTGTTCGACGGCGGCTGCGGCCACTTACTCAGCGTGGTCTCGCTCCCCGTAAGAGTAAACTTGACACTAGCGAGCGGGCCATTATCAATCTGCACCTCGTAGTCTCCAGGATACAAGACCTTGTTTCCGGACTCGTCCACGCGCGCAAGAGACGCAAGCGTTAGATTGAGCGTAGCGGTGGAAGAAGAGCCAGCGCCGATGTTGAAGAGGCGGTCGTAGGCGACGAAGGATTTCTTAGGGTAGGGCTTGGGGCCGAAGGAGCCGGTGAGGAAGCCGAGAGTGACGTAGTCGGATGATGTTTTTCCCGTGTTTTGGACACTGACGGTGAGGCCAGTGAAGGGGCAGCGCTCGAGGAAGCCGCCGGTGGTATTGCAGCCTTTGACGAGGTCGGATATGGCGTAGCTTTGCTTGGGCGGGTTGCTGATGCTAGCGGAGAAGTTGGTGTAATGAAGACCGTAGCCGAATTCGAAAATGGGCTTGCCGGTGTACCACTTGTAGGTGCGGCCGGGGTTCTTGTCGCTTGGGCGCATGCCCATGTCAGTCATTGGTACCTCGGAGACATATTTGGAGGGGTACTGTGTTTGTGGGAGACGTCCAGCAGGAGCAGCTTTTCCAGTGAGAATGTTAACGATGGCGGTGCCGCCGTCTTGGCCGGGGTATCCAGCCCAAAGAACGGCAGAGATCTTGGGGTTCTTGATGAGTGGAGAGGTATCCATCTGGCCACCTCCCATGATGACTACAATAACCGGCTTTCCAGTGTCGGCGAGTTGACCAATAACGTCAAGCTGGCTACCTGTCAAGGTCAAGTAGGAGCGGTCATGACCTTCGGATTCAACGCCATTGTCCATTCCGCCGACCCAGATGTGCACGTCACTGGTGGTGATGACACCAGAGAGGCGAGGCCACTGAGCTGTAGTGGGGTCTCCATGACCACCTGGAAGGCCGCCCGCATACTTGACGTTAACACCGAGATTTTGAAGGGCCATGTATGGACTGGTCAAGAATTTGGCGACTCCGTGGTAGTTGCCCTGCATTTGCGTAGTGGCGTTGGCCCACTCACCGTAGATACCAACATTCTTCGAGCCAAAGTTAATTGGAAGAATGCCGTCGTTCTTCAGCAGAACAATGCCTTCCTCAGCAGCTTTGAGTGCGAGTGCCTGAGAAGAGCTAGTTGCTACCGCATCGAATCCGAGCTGGCGATAGGGCTGCTTCTCAGGTGCATCAAAGTAACCAAGTTTGATGAGAGAAGAGTACTGGCGAATGAGGGCTCTATCAAGGGTAGTCTCGTTAGTGAGGCCCTGCTTGACGGCTCCAGGAAGATGCGACTGCAAGTAGGTGCCACAATCAAGATCGGTGCCGGCATTCAGAGAGTCGGCAGCAGCGCCCTCACGAGTCGAAGACCATTGGTGAGGCAGGTACACGTTCTGGATAGAGTCGCAGTCAGATGTGACCCAGTGCTCATCACTGGACCAGCCCCAGTGCTCTCGGAGAACTGTCTGCAGAAGGTAGGGGTCGGCACATGGTGGCGCACCGTTGACGGCGTCTGAAACATCGTCATTCGCAAGCTCATGTTTGGTTATGGCTTTTCACAACTTACTGTAAGAACACATAAACGCACCGACGTTTGCCTGAACACAAGCCTCAAATGGAGCTAGATAGTACTCTACAAGGTCTTGCTGTGAAATTTGAACATCATTCTGGTAGCGGAGGTTGCCATTCCAGTTTTCGATATCGTAGCCAGCATAGTGCTTACAGGTAGCGACCACACGCCTGTAAGAGTCCGTTTCGTTACCTTGGAGTCCGTGGATCAAAGCCTTGACGTAGGAGCTAAGGTGGTACGAGTCCTCTCCTGGAGTCTCCTGCCCACGACCCCATCGAGGGTCACGGAAGGGATTGATGTTGGGCGTCCAAAAGTCGAGACCCGTTCTGTTGACATTGTTGAAAGCACGCGCCTCGATGGAAATGACCCTTGCAATCTCGGTAATCAGGTCGTCGTCGAAAGCAGCACCCATCAAGATAGGCTGGGGGAAGGAGGTCGAGTAGCTGAAGTCGCCTTGTTTGGCGAAGCTAGTAAAGGGACCAGCAATACCGTGGAGTCCCTCATTCCACCATTGGTAAGGTGGAACACCAAGGCGGGCAACGCCGGGCGCGCTGTTAGAAGTAGCATTGATCTTCTCCTCGAGGGTGTAGAGTGCTACAAGAGATTTTGCACGAGCAAGTGTAGCTAACATCCATTAGTAAGGAAGAAGCTTGTAGTATCCTATGAAGTTGACGAACATGCGGTAGGGTCGCATATGGTCACATTTTTCAGCGGTCCATTTTTGCAATCCGGAAAATTACCCTGGGCAAACACTCCAGCTGCAAAGAGTAACAGTGACAAGGGACGCGGCGAGATAAACATAATGTCGACGGCCTGAACAAAGATTCAGATGGTATCCGATGAAGATGCCTAGCTTGGATCTTATACAAGTCTAAATAGCCGTAGTGCTGACCCTTCAACAAGACACGGTTAGTCACGACATCATACCATAACGTCTACACGTCATGCCCATGTCGACTGCGTGGTCCTGTGCTAAGTGCCGTTCCACTTTTGTGCAGCGTCCGGGCCAGTATGATGACCGAAGCAACAGGGAATGCTTATTCTGGAGGGATGCGGTAGCCAAGCCTTGAGCCGAGCCGCGCGCGGAGCCCCACGCTGCCTCCACTGCCGAGTGAGGGGTTCACGCTAGATGGGGTTTCTTGATATTCCATTTGCTGCGTATTCTGCCTGAATGGTGCTGTTTGTCCGAGGAGCATAAAGTTGAGATTACACAAGTGGCGTTGACGCTTACATACTTACATGAACAACCAAGTCATGGAGTTGTTTGCGGGAACAAGAAGCTGGCGAAGTTATTATTCAACAATAGTCAATATGCGGGGAGGGCGGAGGGGGCGGAGATGAAAGGAGCATATGCTAATCTCAGTTTGGGGCTGTGGCATTCAATCACCAGCTACGACCCTGTCCGATAGTCTGCCGCGTTTTAGCCGTTTGGTGGACAAACAAGATCCGATCCGCATCTGTCATATCACTGGCAGCTTTCTGAGATTTATGGACAGACATTCTATTGAATAAGTAAGCCTTAAGACCCCTGTACGTAAGCATACGCGAATTATGTACACGGATCGTCCGGTAGCCATTCCTTTTCCGACGTAGTAAGAAGCGTTGCGTGCCGCAATCACGACGGCCAGTCGGACTTTTTGACGGTCATCGGCATGCCGTCGCGTGGTGAGGCTTCGAAAACAAACTCCTGGTATGCTCTATCTCCAAAAGTCAAATCGAGGTTGTTCCATTCTGTCCTGGGCGTTCGGTTCGGCTTGAGATCTGCGCACGTAAAGTCAAAATCCCTCGCACTCAACAAGAAGACGAGCGTTAGTTCATCCATTGCGAGTGTTTTGCCGAGACAAGCACGAGGCCCACGTTCGAACGGGCGCCATGCAGTCCGTGTATAGTCTTGGCGTATGAACCGCTCGGGGTCGAATTTGAGGGGATCTACCAACAAGCTTATATTAGCACCGTCTCCGCGCCTCTCAAGCAATTCATTGTGTATGCTACTGACCTTTGAAATGCTTCGGGTCCATGTGCATAGCTAGCTGAACAGGACAAACCATTTTTCCCTTTGATGGCCATTGCTGACCTTGATAGGTCAGGGTATCCATGCCTTCGCGAGCAGTATTACCTATCGGATAGAACCTGAGAATCTCTTTGATGACGGCAATCGTATAAACTAGGTCGTTCATCCTGTATGGATTGGCCTTTAGAAGCTCGTATGTCGCATCAATTCCAGGAGCGAAGACACGGTCATGCTCTTCTCGCATCTTTTGAATTACTTCTGGATGCACGCTCAATAGCATATGTCCAAAGCAGACAGTATCTGATGTTGTGCCGCTACCAGCGATAAGCATTGTCTTGACCTGAGTAATAGCATTTGTTAAGAAATCAGGGTCGAGCTCGGTTGATGTCTTTTCTCCAGTATTTTGCAGATAATCTCTCAGCATGAGGTCCATGATACAAAGCCCTCGTTTCTGGGACAGGTCAAGGTCATTATCTAGTATGATGCTGGTATCAGCAATGCGGCTTTAGTATGCAAGACGGACCACCTACGCTTTACAAACTCAAGCCTTTCTTTTATGAGTTCAGCCACCAAAGTGTCTAGCTTGCGCCTTTCGCGATCGCGCACTCTATTGGCGAAGAAGTTACCGATGTAGTTGAATGATTCTCTTGACTTCATGGAAGCCCGAACCATGGCTTCAAAATGCTGCAACGCAAGACTTCCCTTTGTCTGACTATCGAACGACCGTCCAGTCGCCGCCCTCGAAATAACATCAAACGTCAGATGATGAGCCAAATCTTCAAGGCGGAAAGTCTCTCTTGATTTTGCTTTTTCTTGCAGAATGGAGCGATACTTCATGACTTCTGTGGCGACAATCGGCCTCATCTCAGTGATATTCGTAATGGAAAATGCTGGACTCATCATCTTGTGTAGATGCTTCCAGTGTTGTCCCTCGGCGCTGGCCATATTGCCTTTTCCAATAAGAGGGTCCGTCATCTTTCTAATGGCTTCATGCTTGGGGTGGTTCCGGTTGACGGTGAATTCCATGGCGACGTCGGGATCTATGACGATCAAATGGCTCCATGAGACCGGCCACAAGTCAAGATAGAAGATACCCGGCATGTTGTACTTCTTTGCAATGCTTGTAATGACGACTTGATAGTGCGCGTCACTCGGTAGCATGCCAAACATCTCGCCGAACAGCTTCAGGTGACCGAACAGGAAGCTATGAGGTGGTTTAGGCTGAACATGGGGTTAGTTAACACACATCTGCATCACATGCGTAGCAATGATGTTTGACTAACGAGGTCTTTATAGGAGCGGCGAACTTGAATCAGCCGCATTATACCACATGCAAGCGCCGCGATGACGCTCGTAAAGGCTATCCTCGCCCATGAGAGTTCGTCAAGATCCATTGGGAAAGATGAGTAGGCACTGCTAGTTGAGTAATAGGTGAATAGAAGTAACGCAGTCGAGTGGGTAAACGTCATTCAACGTGCCGTTAACAGTGATTCAGCATTATGATCAGCAGGACCCACTATTTGGCGTAGCGCTACCGTCCGTGCTCACCCAATGCAACAGTTCAGTCAATGCAACACCAGCCGCCCTATCAAAATATCCACTTATTATTTTTAACACGTAATATCTCTACTACTATTATAGCTATTAAAGAAGTAATTATAGTAATTAATTTATAAGATATAAAAGGTTAACTTTTATACTATATAGCTAGAAAAAAGTTTAGTATTAAGATTTTAATATTAA